GGGGCACATGACAGGAGGTGTGACATTACATCTTAACGACTGAATTACAGTGTTACCTCGACAAGACACGTTCCCACATCATTCACTGAGCAGAAAGTCATTACCTCGCGTCGAAGACACCTGCCTCTAATCTCACAGGCTTCCTCGCTGGCTTGATAATTGGCAACACTTGAAGGGCGTCTACATAACACATTCATAACATCTTACATTAACACTTCATAACTTGCTCATGAATGTTAAATCAACATTATCTTAATATGGAGCACTGTGTTATTTTACTGAGAGACTTTTTTTTCAAAATAAAAGTCCTTATTTTTTATTTTGAAAAACTATATTGTTTTGAGTGCATCGCCTCAATAAAATTGACCTCTCGTTACTGTTTAGGTCAACGATTGCTTTGACGCTCAGGCACATTCTGCCTATATTTTCAACTTCTTTTTAATTATTATTTCTTTTTAAGCATTTGTATTTCACACTCATACTCTGTGCCTTCTTTGCAGTATTATGGTGCCAAAGGGTTAATTCCACAGTCTATACATTGTAGAGGAAAATGCTATTTATCCTAACTTTGACTCTCTCTTAGGGTTAAATGCTAGCACTGTTATTCCAGGGAGGTTTTATTTTATTTTATAGTGAAGTTCTTCCTCACTTATGGTGTTGGAGAAGACACAACTATAATTGTGCATTGGTTATCCAGTTTAATGACACTCTTTGAGGCTAAATGTTGCCCAAGGATTAATAAATTCCGTTTTATGTTTACCTCAAAAGTGATGAAAGCTAACCAGACTGAAATGCATGTTATGTGGATCTTTAAATTGCCCTCCAAAATGGTCTTCTCGCATTCATGTGACTGTCCAGCATCTCCAAGGAGTGGGTGAGTATTATGGTCCTGTAATATTCCTTGATGCTCTGTGTCCCACCATCATACGAAGATTCAGTCAAATGATCGTTCAATGCATATTTATGAGCAATTTACTGTACATATAGTAAAGTGGCAAATGCTTAAAAACAAATAATTAAAAAGAAGCTAAATATATAGGTGAAACGTGCCTGAGTGTCAAAACACTTACTGACCAAAAGGTTAAAGTGAGGTCATTTTTATTTTGGCAGTCCATAATTGAAGCATTTCAATAAAAAATATACTTTTTCAAAATATAAGATGAAGACTTTTATTTTGAAATATGCATTACTCAGTAAAATGAAATGGTAGTCCATATTAATATCATGTGAAACATGTATGTTTTATGAATGTTGGTTTAAACAGTCATGAAGATGTTACGAAGTGTTTATGTAAGATGTTATGAATGGTTATGTAGACGTAGTAAAGTGTTACCGATATTTCTAGACCCTTACAGATAAATTGGAAAATTGTTATTAAACATTAATTCTGACTGTTTTTGATACAGAAAACCACACCTATCAGTCGACCTTAAGCAAGAAAAAATACAAGCAATATAGGACATGGGCCCTGTAAGTGCTCAAAGGAGAATTCCACTGATGTTTTGAAAAATTCTGTGTAAATAAATGGTTAAGATGTAAACAGACTCATTCAGAGTGGTATGAAACACTCCATTCTAGAAAAACACAGCAAAGTCAGAACTGTTTACAATAGCAGTGATAGGAATCAGACGTCTGAAGCGTTTAATGCCTCTAAAAGCTCCCTCACGGAAAGCAGTTACATAAGATGGTTAAGACGCTGCCTGATGTCTGAGACATTGAGTGGCTCGTGCCCATGTAAACATACATCATCTAGAAGATGAAGAATATTTAAATCCTTCATTTTGTCATACATGCTACGTGATGTTTTTGGGGCGACGCTGCTCGCTTATTTCCGGTACCACTGTCTGTTGTTGTGTTGTAGTCATGGTGACCGCTGGTTCCTATCACCACCACTGTAAAGACATCTGAACCATTTCACACCAAACCACTCTGAATCCCTCTGTCCACATCTCAGTGACTGATTTATTCAGAAGTTTCTGCTTTCTTTTTTGCAAGGAAATGAAAAATTGCAATAAGATATTCTCTTAATATACTTAAGTCAACAAAGTGTTTCTTATCGTGATCTTTCACATACTCTGTATCTGAATAACAGGCTTGGCTCGTGCCCATGAGCCCTTAAACACATAAAAGTACATGATAGAAATATTATGACTGTGCTTGTTTACTGATTATCATTGCACTAATAAATTTATTGATCCACACCTTTGGTGCTCACAGGCTAACTGGGCTAGCTCCGTATTTTCCATACAAAAACGTCAAGCCCCTTGTTTGTTCAGGTGATCTCCACACTGTAGCTCATTATTAGATATTAAAGACTTCAGGTGTTTACTCAGTGTGTTGAATGAAGTGCTGTGTAACGGTGTGTTGTCTGGCACTGATATACTGATGCGTCCTTGAATCTTCACTGAGTCAGAGGCCATGTGATGTTACGCAATCCAATATAATGATTAAGCACCAACATTGCCAGTGGGCAGAAGGTTACCCTGGACCAAATGCCATAAAACGTCCTCCATGCCTTTTATTTTTGTGGAAATCACTGGTTTTTACACAAACATGCCCATAAATGCCGTTCATTTCCCTTAGTAAAGAAATCATAGGGTTTCTATGAAATTAGCAATACTGCTGATTTTTCAAAATATCCGCAGTGGTTGAGATGTAAACAGAGTCATTCAGAGTGGTTTGGTGTGAAATGGTTCAGATGTCTTTACAGTGGTGGTGATAGGAACCAGGGGTCGCCATGACTACAACACAAATATAGACAATTTATTTACTATCCAGAACCACCAGTGAACCTCCAGGTGTCTTCTGAGTGTTTATATTTAATGTTGATGATGGTCAAATAGTGGAAAATCTGGAGAATTAAGTTTTCTTTGGGGACTATTTTGCCTCACAACGCCCTGCATGTATCCCTCCACCATGAATGGATTTAAAAATGACATTTCAGGCCAAAACTTTAGCTCAAAACTATCGTAAAACAACGTCTCAGACATCAGGCAGTGTTTTCATAACTATTTAGTGTAATAACTTTCTGTGAGGGAGCTTTTAGAGGTGGACGTCTGGTTCCTATCACCACCACTGTGAGCAATTCTGACTCTGAGTTTCTCTAGAACAGAGCGTTTCACACCAAACCACTCTGAATGACTCTGTTTACATCTCAACCATTTAATTTTACAGAAATGAAGAAGGAGAATTACCATGTAAGCAATGTTAGTTTATGTATATTACTATCAATGATGTATTCTTCCTAGAACAGGGGTGCTGTAATCCTGGTCCTAGAGCTGTACCACCCTGTAGAGTTTAGCTCCAGCTCGAATTCAACACACCTGGTCCAGGTAATGAAGGCCTTAAAGAGCATCTGAATATTAGAACCGGGTGTGTTGGATCCGAACTCTCAAGGGTGGTAGATCTCCAGGACCAGGATTGCACACTTAGAACATGCAGGTTCTTCTTAGAACATTTACATTGTGTAAAGGTGTTTTACACTCGCAAATCTCATTTACAAATATGCCTCTTTAAAGAACTATTCATTGAAAGTGTTTAGGGAACCAAAGATGGTTCTTCTAGGGCATCGCAAAGAACTTTTTAGCAGTTTAACAGGCCAAACAATAAAAATGGCTTAGCTGAAAGATACCAGACTACATATAAACTTTCAAAGATTCAGAGCTGCTTTAGTGGAAATACAATAAAGTTAAACTTAGTTATTGTAAAATAAAATTAAAGTTATTGTATTTAATTTTAAAAGTATATATTTAAAGTGGTAAAACTACATGTTAAGTGTGTCCTTCAGGCTCTGTTATTGTAACAAAGCAGTAAGAGAATTTGAAATATGCACTCATATATCATATATCATCATGAACTTGCCAAATATTCATTGCCAGTTCATTAAGAATGTCCTTTTTACTTAATGATTAAATTTGAATCTTTTAAGAGCTTAACTTTCACCAATTTTACAGGAAAAGTAATTCAGAGTGGTTTGGTGTGAAATGCTTAATTCTAGAGAAACTCTGTAAGTCAGAACTGTTAACAGTGGCAGTGATAGGAACCAGAGTTTCAGGCCTCTAAAAGGTACACCACAGAAAGTTATTACATTAAATGGTTATAAATACTCAGCATGATGTCTGAGACACAGTTTTACAGTAGTTCTGAGATACGTTTTGACCTAAAACGTATTTTAATCAATTTATTCTAATCTCTTCATAGTTGAGGGATACATAAAGGGTGTACTAAGGCTGAATAGTCCCCAAATAAAACTTAATTTTTCAGATTTACCACTATTTTACCATCATCGACATCACATATAAAGACTCAGAAGACTCGTGTAGGCTCACTGGTGGTTTGGGACAGTAAATAAAGTGTCTATATTTGTGTTGTAGTCATGGTGACCCCTGGTTCCCATCACCACCACTGTAAAGAAATCCAAGTCAGTAAGTTTCTCTACAAATGAACCATTTCACATCAAACAACTGAATTATGCAGACATTTAGAAGAATGGGCGGAATTCCCCTTTAATCAATGGTGATGTGAAGAGGATCAAATTATACGTTTATTTGATTTTATACATGGAAACAAGTTAACACATCTCTGTGTGGAGCGCACTGAAATATGGTGTTTTTTTGCTTAATGCACATTAATGCACAACTTCTATTTATCTGAGTTTTAACATAAAAAATAGAACAGAAAGCACAGATGTGCCCTAACTTTTGCACAGGCCACATTTTATGTTTTTTTTTCCCCACAATGTGTTAAATTCAGCAAAGTAACAGTAACTGTGCATTAAAATTTGTGTTCTCAGTAAAGTTGTGTGACTTATTTTCACTTCGAAAATCAACAACAACAACATGGAATTTGACCAGGGGTGCGCAAACTTTTGCACACGACCATATGTGGTGGAAGTACGTGAAGCTCAGGGAGACACTTCTGTTCGTAACATGTGAGGACCTGATAGGAGGGCCGTGAAAGCCGTCCGGAGGAGGAGGAGGATGAGGTGGGCCCTGCTATCAGATCAATCCTGCCCATCCCTGCAGGACTTTACACACCACTCCCTGCCTGGGTGATCCAACTGTAATGCTCTGACCAGGTCAGACAGGCTCTCGCTTCAGAGCACAGCTGAGGACTGTGCTGTCGATCAACCAAGACAGGTCTGGCTTCTTTAGTTCTGCTGTGGAGCTACGTGGCTAATGCAGCTAACAAGTAATGGAAGCTTATACACACATTATTATTATTATTATTATTATTATTATTATTATTATTATTATGATTTAGAACTAAATCATTACACAGTCTAGATGTCTCTTTATCTCTGTCCTATTCATAACGCGTCCATTTTAAAATGGGACCTTCACAATCTGCAACATGATATATTTATTATTTATTACTCTAAAATTTAAATAGATAAACATAATGCTGTTCAAATCATATGTCAAAATATGTATTTAATTAGAAATATATTCTCGGGAATCTATGCACTCTTCGTATTTGGCCAGTGGTGTTTCAGACAGTTGAATTAGATGAACAGAGCATGTAAAGAAGCAAGGTACTTAGACATATTTGTAGCAATTGACTTGACCCTGCTTCATAACATTGACATAACCATGCCATAATTATCTCACAGCAAATCAGCACGACAAAAAACAGTAGCTTATAAAGTTGGCAATGTATCTAAAATTTCTTATTTTGAGATGGTTGTGCATTTATTATAAGATTATCTGGCTTAAATTTGGACATTTATTACTTCTTTTAGGGAATTTTATCAAGTGATCTCACTATAATGGCAGATAATCTGGCAAAATGATCTGCCAATATAGTGAGATCACTTCACTTCATAAAATGACCTAAAATGAGGTGAAAAATGTTTGGAGATAAGTTAAAAAATGTTAAATTAAGCTTGACAAAAATCTCAACAGGAGAAATATTAGATTTATTGTCTATATTTTATATAATATTACCTGACAATATGCAATTTTTTTGCAGTGGACATTATGGCATAACAATTACCAGCAATGGTAAGACGGCACCGTTATATTACTGAATAAAATCTGTCATGACAACTCGTGACTGCATATGACACCTGCTTTGACTTTTCGCCCAGTTTTCTCCACAATTTAGTCATATCCAGTTCTACCCACTAGTTAAGTCTCCCCAATCACACGATGCCACCAGCGCTAGGAGGGTGCGAGCTAGCAAAGGCTTCCTCCGAGACCTGTCAAGCACCACCGCGTCTTTTTGAACTGCAGCTAATGTAATGTTAATGCAATGTCAGTATCATTGAACACGCTTGGAGGAGAACACTAACCACCAGTTCTGTTACAACAGCTAACAGACGCTTGCACTGGCTAGTATTGTGCTGAGTGATGGGGGGTGGCACCATCTGTGCTCTCTAGGACCCCCGGCCACAGACAGCTGTAGCATCACCAGGGATCGAACTCGCAGTCTCCTGATGATGGGGCCAATGCTTGGACGGTTGCACCATTTGACATGTTCACGCCTTGGTTATGTCAGTAATTTCTATATGGGGGTCATTAATGGGTCCCATAAGATCCTCATTACCCCTTTGATTGGAGACACTTTGAAACCCCGGCCAAGCCATGAAGGTGCCTGAACTTCGTACCCAAGTGATTCTTTCCTGAAAGTAAAGATACTTAAGCCTGTGTTGTTCCCAGCTATAGCAACACTGGCTCTTGTTCTAAACTATGGAACTCCATAATTCCTCTCCAGTAAGGCTGAACAATTTGGGGAAAAATACGTGATTGCAATTTTTCCGACTGATTTTATTTAATTATTTTATTATAAATTCCAGAATATCCACCTTTTCTGGCTTGAGGCTTGACCCCTTAATGTAGTGTGCCAGACTGCCAGTAGGTTGTGGTTGTGAGGTCACAAAACATGGGTGTTTGGTTGACTCTGATTGGTCTAACTCACCTACAGACATATCACAAGCTTTGTGTTATTGCTAAGTATAACAATGTTTTTGATTAAAAAATTTCAGCTCTTGCAATTTGAAAATTGCACTCTTTTAAATTGCGATTTCGATATAAAAACGATGAATCTTTCGGCTCTACTGTCCAGATTGCTCAAGTCATTACAATAATCCTCGATCATTCTGTTCTTATCACTTCGCATCCGTCTGGTCCAGTCCAGAGGATTCACAAGGTCCTCAGAACAGGAGGTTTGAAGTCTTTTAGAAGATGAATGAATTCACCCCAGAGAGGGTACAGCTTCCGTGCCTAAAATTGGGCTCTCCTAAAAGGCACAAGACTGTAGATAATGACGCACACAGTAATATGCTAAATTATGACCATGTTTCACTCCATTTAATCCTTTGTCCAGGTACAATGGTGGATGGAGCAAAGTACTTGAGCTCTTACATACTGACAAACCCTGCGAGCCAGTTCTCCAGTCTAGATGCATAAAAATGATGCTGATGACTCTTAAAATAGGTTTATTTTAGAGGCTTTTGTTTCCCTGAATATGTCAGAGCAGCTCTGTGTTAAGTAGGCATTGAAGGATCTTTACTGTTCAGCTGGACTCTGAGTCAAATGCACTGTCGGAGGGGGAGCAACTGTGGACCCCTCACTTAGAACACTTAGAAAAGGACTTAATCCTTGACAATCATCGGACATGACTTGAAAGTGGAGGAATCGGCCTCCTCCGAAGCGGGCAGCAGCAGGAAAAGATCTGTTGTTGTGTTTGGATAATGAGAGAGTTCCTCCCCACCCAAAGCCCCGGAGCTTGGCCTGCTCTTTGGCAAGAGGAAGTGAATCACAAACACTCTCTCTCTCTCACTCTCCCCTTCCAAACCCCCGCACTGCTCCCAGTCTCTGGTGCTCGGACACAAAAAAAAGTGCTCGTGGACTTTAGCCCACCATGCTACGAAAGCAAACAGTAAACCAATTGAATGTTGCCTGCCAAAGATGTGATCACTTCCATGTTCTTCTTTGGACCAAAAGCTTCTCCAACACACCAAGGCCTAATTGTTTTATTGCTCTCTTGTTATCATAACTGCCAAGGAGGACTGCTTTAAGGCTCCGCAAGCTCTCGGAGAAGACAGAAGATCAGTCGACAGCCTGAAGTTAAGCATTAACCGCATTGACATTCACCAACACTGTACCCTTGTGAGGTGTCCACAAGACCTTGGTCTTTTTGTGCTTCACGGCTTTTGAGTGACTCTGGGAATCGAGGCCAGAGATCGTTCGTGGTCTGCCGAGTCGGGACGGGGGGGCATCACCTCCATTTGTGGTGCTAATCGGAGGTGAAACAGGAGAAACATGTCGGCTGCCCTGGATGAATACTGCGGCTCCATTTTTTGGGTGAGTTTTGAAATTATACTGTGGGAGTCAACCTTGCAGTTCACTTCAAAAGCTCTGTTAGATCCATCACCTCAGTGCTACAGCGAGATTAAAAGTGAGGAGTTTGTTAGAAATGTCTAGGGGGGCTTCTTGGTTTCGTTCATAGACACAGCTTATGGGCTTCTATTCTGTTTGAGAGAGATGTTGTCTAGATAAAGTCGTTGAAATCGCGTATTTGAATAACAGAGATTCTTGGGAATCAACGATGTATTACTGTTAAACTTTAAGACTAACAACTTCAACATTTTTAGCACATCATTATTAGTATCATCACTACAAGTACCCCAAATAGGTGATCAGTAGTGCCTTGCTTGACACTGTTAAGCGTCAGTGATAAGACCATTACATAATTCCCACGTGCTGTCTGTCTTGTTTATTTGAGCTATTGCCACCGCCACAAATATTTGTCCATCAGTCTTTAGAGTTTAAATAAATAGAGTTTGAATTGGAGAAAAGCACTGAATAAATAAAATGTATCACTTTTTTTATGTTTTTCCTCAGACTTTAAAGACTGATGCAATTGCATGAAACGAAACAGAAAAAACACACATCTCCTGACGGATGGAATGTTTAAAACTTTAATATCCGGTTTCTCATATTTAGTTTAGTGGTTCATTAGTAGTTTTATTCTGGTCAGGTTTTTAACCTCTGGTCTACAGCACAGAGTAAACTTCTGCAATCATAATTAATGGTTAGTGGGATTTATCTTTCCAAGTATCTGAGCATGTAGCTGATTGGTACCTCTTGAACTGAACCTCTTGCTGAACCCTTAAACTCGAAGCATTTTTACCTAATTGATCTTAATGCTGTTATCTAGTAACTACTGTGAATTATTCACTAACTGTTGGTGTGAGGGTTACATGTCACAAAGAACGTCCGGATGTGTTCAGACGATCCTGTGATGTTCAGAACATTGTGTATAGAATGTGCTGATATATCCTGAACATCCTAAATTAATGTAGAACATTCTGATTGTTTAGAATGTCTTGGTATGTTTAGAACGTCCTGATGTCTTTAGAACATTCTGATGTGTTTAGAGTGTCTTGGTATGTTTAGAACGTCCTGATGTCTTTAGAACATTCTGATGTGTTTAGAATGTCCTGATGTCTTTAGAACATTCTGATGTGTTTAGAATGTCCTGATGTGTTTAGAACATTCTGATGTGTTTAGAACGTCTTGGTATGTTTAGAACGTCCTGATGTCTTTAGAACATTCTGATGTGTTTAGAATGTCTTGGTATGTTTAGAACGTCCTGATGTCTTTAGAACATTCTGATGTGTTTAGAATGTCCTGATGTCTTTAGAACATTCTGATGTGTTTAGAATGTCTTGGTATGTTTAGAACGTCCTGATGTCTTTAGAACATTCTGATGTGTTTAGAATGTCTTGGTATGTTTAGAACGTCCTGATGTCTTTAGAACATTCTGATGTGTTTAGAATGTCTTGGTGTGTTTCGAATATCTTGGTGTGTTTAGAACATACTGATGTCTTTGGAACATTCTGATGTGTTTAGAACATTCTGATGTGTTTAGAACATTCTGATGTGTTTAGAATGTCTTGGTGTGTTTAGAATGTTCTGATGTGTTTAGAACGTTCTGATGTCTTCAGAACATTCTGATGTGTTTAGAATGTTCTGATGTGCTTAGAACGTCCTGATGTTTTTAGAATGTTCTGATGTGTTTAGAACGTCCTGATGTCTTTAGAACATTCTGATGTGTTTAGAATGTCTTGGTATGTTTAAAATGTCCTGATATCTTTAGAACATTCTGATGTGTTTAGAATGTCTTCGTGTGTTTAGAACGTCCTGATGTGCTTAGAACATTCTGATGTGTTTAGAATGTTCTGATGTGTTTAGAATGTCCTGATGTCTTCAGAACATTCTAATGTGTTTCGAATATCTTGGTATGTTTAGAACGTTCTGATGTCTTTAGAACATTCTGATGTGTTTAGAATGTCTTGGTGTGTTTAGAACGTCCTGATGTCTTTAGAACATTCTGATGTGTTTAGAATGTCTTGGTGTGTTTAGAACATCCTGATGTCTTCAGAACATTCTGATGTGTTTAGAACGTCTTGGTATGTTTAGAACGTCCTGATGTCTTTAGAACATTCTGATGTGTTTAGAACGTCTTGGTATGTTTAGAACGTCCTGATGTCTTTAGAACATTCTGATGTGTTTAGAATGTCTTGGTGTGTTTAGAACATACTGATGTTTTTAGAATGTTCTGATGTGTTTAGAACGTCCTGATGTGTTTAGAATGTCTTGGTATGTTTAGGACGTCCTAAAGTCTTTAGAACATTCTGATGTGTTTAGAATGTCTTGGTATGTTTAGAACGTCCTGATGTGCTTAGAACATTCTAATGTGTTTCGAATGTCTTTGTGTGTTTAGAACATACTGATGTCTTTCGAATGTTCTGATGTATTTAGAACATTCTGATATATTTAGAACATCCTGATGTACTAGCATGTGTAGGACATCCTGATGTGCTTAGAACCTTGTGACATGTTTCCAACATCCATGTGTTTAAAACACCCTGATGTGTAGAACATCCATATCCTGATGTATTTAGAGTGGTTAGATGTTTAGAACATCTTGTTTTTATCTTGATCATCTTATTCTAGACTTCACATTCTTTGATGTTCTCTTACTAAAAGGCTAATCAGTCAAAATTAACCCCTTAAACTCTGGGTTTATTAATTCAGTTATTATTCTTAAGATGTTTTATTTAGTAACTACTATAAATTACTCAGTAACCCCAGGGGCAGCTTTGAGGGTGAAAATCTGACGTATGAAGTTTAAGGGGTTACATATTAAGTTCAAGAGGCTACGTCTTCAAAAACAACCCTACAAAGCGAATACAAACATATTATGCGTACATGAAGTGCTTAAAGTTTAACCCTCAGTGACAAAGTTATTGTTGTGTTTTATAAGCTTGAATGCAGGAAGAAAACGCATGTTTTTGTCATTCGTGATACTGAAACACACAGAATGGTCAATGTAGACACGTAAACTCGACGAAAGTGTAGCTCACTGGGCAGTTATCGTGTAAATTTGTATAAAGTTACATAAAAACATAAATAAGATTACAAAAGAAATAACTTTTTAACTCAAAATGAAGTCGATGTTTACCTGCATTAGTAACTGTGACATTGCAGTTTTTGCTCGTCTACCTTTGGACCATGAGCCCGCAGGTTTAGTGTTATGACATCACTCAAACATCTGACCTGACTGTGGAAAACACACATTTTTTCACATTTCTCACACCGTCAGTGGAACGATCTTCATCAGATATTGATTATGTACTCTGAGCACATTTTTTCTGATTATGTTTAATGAGGTATTCGAGTGCTTAAAGTATTAAGGTTTTAATGAGGCACCTGGCAGGAGATCTTTCTGGATCACTTACTTGAACATTCAGGCCTAATTGGGTGCGTGTGTGTGTGTGTGTGTGTGTGTGTGTGTGTGTGTGTGTGTGTGTGTGTTTCAGAATGACTCTTTCCTGGATCGTCCGGATCCGGACCTGCCGGTGTGTGTGGAGAGGACGGTGCTGGTGTGGGTGCCGCTGGCTTTCCTGTGGCTCTGCGCTCCCTGGCATTTGGCCATTCTCTTCAAGAAGAAACCTCCCAAAGCTCCGTTCTCCAAGCTCTACATCTGCAAGCAGGTAGAGCAGTTAAGGACTGTTATAAACCTGAGTGAATCTGAGGGTCTGCAGAAGAGCTTTATCGCATTTTCACAGCGGCCGTGAAATGTAACTTCTTTCTGTTTGGGAAAAGATCCCTGAGTTTAAGCCTATCCCAGCGGTGGTTGGGCGAAGGCAGGAAACACCCTGGGCAGGTGGCCAGTCCATCGCAGGGCAGACACACAGACATATACATTCACATACACACTCACACCCTGAGGCAATTCACGTCCAGTTGGCCTGACTCCATGTCTTTGGACTGTGGGAGTTAGGACTCCAGACAGAAAGGACCCTGGTCGCCCGGCCGGGGAATCGAACCCAGACCCTTCTCAATAATATTTCAACTTTAATAATATTACACGATTGCTTGATGTCTAGACAGCCGTTCATATTATCTCGACGTGGCGGTCTTTGTGAGTTGTTTTCACAGCCCGTCTCCCTGTTCACATCTCATTGCTCGCTAACAGTTCAACAAAAATTCACATTTCAAAACATACAGAGCCAAGAGTGTCCTAGTTAACTGATGAGTTACCCAAAAAACAGTGACCTTTAGGGCCCTGCAGAAAGAGATAATTTTTCCGGAGATTTTGGTCCAAATCTTATCACGGCATTTTAGGGCCACTGTTAAAAAATTCATTAAAAATAGTAGACTTTGAGAATAAAGTCTGAATATTTTGGGAATAAAGTGATAGAATTATGACATAAAAGTGGCATAAATATCAGGAAAAGTCACAATGTTGTGGCCAAAAGGTTGGTAAAAAGAAGGTAGCAACCTCCTTGTGTTAAAATGAGGACTTCTAGAAGTTAAGGAGTTGGGAAAGTTATACTTGCGTACCGGTTTCACCAGTAAAGACAGACTTAGCACATCGGCACCAGATCGTTATTAGTATAAGAAACACTGTGTTTATTTAGAACAAAGAACCAGACGGACTCGGAGGTAATTGTCTGTTTTGCTGAAGGAGAACTCGTGGCAGTGGCGTCTACACGGCTATCGGTGGTTACATCTCCGTGCCACTCAAAGAGGGCATGTAGTTTCACAGGAGACAATAAGAATGATAATCAAAATGATCGATCCTGAAGGAGTGAGCAGAACTCCGGCATGCTTCAACATCGCCAGTACAGCAACCAAGGCCCCAATGTGTTATGGCAGCCCCCCCTACAGTTAGCCCACTTTATCCTCCAAATATGGCAAGTTTATTCTTGTAACTTTGTGACTTTATTCTCAAAATATTATGACTTAATTGTCGAATTCTATTATTTTTATATATTTTAGCCCTAAAACGCCACTTGTAAAACCTGAATATAGCCTCACAAAAGTCTGTCTGGATCCATCCTGACCAGAAGGGAAGTTCACAATCTTAAAAATAAAGGTGTACTGAAACTAAGAACCCTCTAGAAACCCTCACATTCCTATCAACAGTGCCTGCTATGGTGGCTTCTTGCACAGCCACAACCATCATCATCATCATCATGTTCAACCGCTTATTCCAGATTGGGTCGTGGCTCAACCTGAAAAAGCAACATGGGGGGACCATGTGAGCCCACCACCCACAAGGTCCAGCATGGGGGACCGGTGCAGTTCTGTATAGATTATGGGAGGTGGCAGGGATGTCCTTGGCAGCACGGACCCCTGCGGCAGAAACTGGCTCTTGGCAACCACAACCAATCAACTAAAAAATGAATCACTTCATTATCACACTCTTTGCCAGTGCCTTGGAAAGTTTTTAGTTTGTGTCCAAAACCACGTACTACACAACCCTCAGGGCCTTCTAGGCCTTCAGACAGGGGCTAATGATTTCTGTGGAATAAAAATATGTGAACTAAATGTATGTCACTTTTAGTTCATGTTTACTTGATATATTGAATATTTAAACTCAAAGTATTGTAGAAAACTCCTATTTTATTGTTACGTTTTAGTTGGAGTTGGGTTAAATCCCTGAAACTCCCAATGGAATATTATCCAGTCAGAATGTGTTTTTGTCCGTGGTGTCTAAGTAGATACAGCCAAATGAGCTCTCCCATTGGTTAGGCCTTCAGGAACTGACCAGAAGGCCTAACATGTCAGATTAACCACTAACATGATTAGGAACGGATGGTGAAATCAGCCAATCAGGACTTCTAGAAGTCCTACTCACCTCACTGACTGTGAGTATAAGTGGTAATTTGACCACTAATCAGATGGAAAGAATGGAAAACAGCGGCAGCTCTGTGGGCTCCTTCCCGAAAGAAATGTTATTAAGAATCTCCATTAGCTTAGTGCTAAAATACTACTAGAATACAATAGGGGTGCTAGCCAAAGTTAGCATTATCATAAAGGTTTTTCTTTCCTCAGTAGTGACCAAGTTTTAACATTTATGGCCTGAACTGAAGGCCTAGCTCTGACAGTCACAGTTCACCACTGTGCTAAACTACACTATACTATACATTCTATATGTTAGGACTTGAAACAGTGAGTTCCATAAAGGATGAATTTGTTCGGTATGGCTTTGATTAATTGATTAATCAGGATAAGAACAAGCTCTTCTGTACTACGCTTGTAATCCATGTGAAAGGTGGACGCAATAAAGAAACAGTGCATGAACAAACCTACAAGACTCACATGGCAGGCAAAGTACTTTTATGGAGCTGGTTTAATTCTACAAGAACTTTGCACTCCTAAGTTTTTTTCTCCTGTAATGATGATAAAGCAAAGATAAATTAATTAGTGTGCATGGTAACATTACATAATCAAACCTAATATAACTGTGCTCACAGAAGCAGCCCGGTTATCAGACATATCAGACATTAAAGGCCATAAAGCACGTTCACCACTCATCAAACAGCTATAACCGTGTACGTTTTAAAAAAATAGCCATATCCATGTGGACGAGCTGGTCTGTGTGGATTAGGACTGTCATAGGTGAGCTCAGGTTTACACGGCGTCCACGAAGTCATCGTTTTAGATGATGTGAAGTGTTCCCATATTTATTTATGTGAGTCATGCAAACTGTGGTTTTCGCCATCTGTATTATCCCACTTTCAGTCAAGTGATGTAAATGGAAAGCACAAAATGTCCATCAAGCCAGCTAATTTCTAACAAGATTAATTGCCATGATTTTTTTTATTATCAACGTTCTCAATAATGTTGATCAGTTGTTGCAACCCTTTTATACTCACTATACCCCATGTGTCAAACCCAAGGCCCGTGGGCCAAGTCAGGCCCGTGACACAGTCCTATTCAGCCCGGGAAAATAATGTACATTTTCTATCAGTATTAGCTCATTTCACCATGAGCTGCACTACAGTTCCCAGCATGGACTGCCATGTCTTCTCCCACCCCCTCCCCAACAACCATCTATGGGACAGCACCACAAAAAAATGCCTCTAGGTCAAGCAAATGAGCAGTTTTTTTTACAAAAACAACAACAACTGTACACTGGGGACATTTAAAGAGGTTCAACAGGTATCTAGTCTGTTTTATATATAAAACAATCTGTTTAAAATGATTTTGGAATCGTTCAAATATTCACTGCCTGTTTTTGCTGTTCTAGTTTTGGTTTTTTTGAATAAACGTGGCTAAATGTTAAGTAAAAAAAAATAAAAACACAGCTGGCCCACAGATCAGTCGAGATTTTTTAATATGGCCCTGTTAGTGGTTTCATTTGACGCCCCTGCACTGTACTAATGAATGTACTCTTAATAGAAGTATAATATTTTGGCATAGTATGTGGTTTTGCTACGTTCAGGTGCTTACAGAGGGTAAATATGTATCCTGCATGTATCTTTGCTTTATTAATGTCCTTAGGTCACATATAAGCAAATCGGGTATGATTTTCACCTTTCACCTCCAACTTTTCACTGGCAGAAAAGGCAAAAATTTGCATTCTGGTCAACTCATGTAACCCACTGTAACATTAATAATCAGTATGATTCCTGACACCAGACCCTCGATTATACTCGGTCTGATTTATCCTCTAAACTTGCCTCAGTGGCACACCATTGAGCCAGAATGCTAGTGGTTAGACGTGAGTTAAAAGTGGCGTCTCCACACTCAAAAACGCAGCTTAACCCGCTCAGATTTGAATCTTTATCCTCCAAACGTGCATCAGTGAGGCTTTAGTGAACCAGAATGAACCTGTGCGGTTGCGTGTATCTGTTTTAACCTTCTCGCTAAGCTAACATTTGCCTCTGGTGCTACTAATGGATACTATTTAAAAGTAGCTTGAGCCAACTTGGACAAAAACACAGGTTTACCCACTCAGATTTGAGTCCTTATCCTCTAAACTTGCCTCAGTGGTGCGCCATTGAGCCAGAATAGCTGGTGGTTTAGCCTTCTCGCTAAGCTAATGTTAGCCTCTTTTTGATATGGGTTAAAAATGGTAACTAACACACAAAAACCCACTCAGATTCGAATCTTCATTCTCTAAACTTCCATCAGTAAGGCTTCAATAAGCAGCAATGGACCTGTGTGGTTGTGTGTACCTGTTTTAACCTTCTCGCTAAGCTAGTACTTGATTCTGATGCTGACAAGAATACTTATTAGAAATAGCTTATGCTAACAGCTTCACGCACAAAAACACAGGCTTACCCACTCAGATTTGAGTTTTTGTCCTCTAAACTTGCCTCAGTGGTGCACCAGTGAGCCAGAATAGCTCGTGGTTTAGCATTTTCGCTAAGCTAATGTTCGATACGAGTTAAAAGTTGCAACTCTACACACAAAAATGCAGGTTAACTCACTCAAATCTGAATCTTTATCCTCTAAACGTGCATCAGTGAGGCTTTAGTGAACCATGTGTATCTGTTTGAACCTTCTCGCTAAGCTAATAATTGCCTCTGGTGCTACCAATAGATACTAATTAAAAGTAGCCTAAGCTAACAACTCCACAGACAAAAACGCAGATTTGCGCTCATATTTTAGTCTTTATTGTCTAAAATTGTGTCTTCAGTGAATCAGAATAAACCTGCATTGTTGTAAATAAGGCTGTTTGGGCCTTCTTACTAGCTTTAATGCTAATGTCTAGCAGCGTAGCTGACCAATCATGCTGTTTGACTTTGATTGTGTCGCTGTGGGGCGTGAAGGCCGAGGAAGTAGGGTGAGACCCTCTCAGGGCTGTTTAGCATGTTTTAGTATGTTGGACCATAATAGGCCAAACTCATAACATACAAATCTACTCTACAAATCCCTTTTATTGGATGTGCTGACAAAGTCTCTGTTTTCAATGGCAAAATGTGAACTCATTTGATACAAATATCAGTCTAAATACAAGAATAATAAATCATTTAAGAGAACATTTCTGAGTACAACCTGAGGGTGAACTCTGAGGCCAACAGACAAGAATATGAAACGATGTCCGAACCTGACGTGAACGGTCAGGTCCTGCTGAGTTTGGACAAATGTTTCAACCGCCAGTCAGCAGTACCTCCACAGGGAATTTGGTTACGCAATTAAAAAGGCCAGCTGGACCTAATTAAAATTCTTCGCCGTGAAACCATGTGACCAAATGATTTGGCCAACCAGAAGATGAAAAATGTATGCCTGTCCACCCAAATAGTCTCCGTTTGGTTCACAAACCCACCATCATTCAAACGGATGAATAAGACCCATGTGAAAAGTGTTTGTGTTTCTTTCTCACTGCTACTCTCTTTTAGCGGCGGCAGCAGCAATTAAATGCTAATTATTCAGCAGGTAAACAGCAGCTACGCAAGAGGCTTAACTTAGTAACAAACTATTCCATTGTTGTGCTAAATAATTCAGCTTGACACTTTCCGTTCTACCGAATGAACTGATCGGATCTCGTTTTCCCATCAGGTCCTGGCGGGATTGCTGTTCCTGACAGCCGTCGCCGCACTCGCGCTCACTCTTGGTGAAGATTACGGGCCATCAAGTGACTCATTGGCTCTGAAAAACCCTGTGGTGCTTTATGTTAATCCTGTGCTCTTCGCCGTCTCTTGGGTAAGATAACGACTAGTTGTGGCTGAGTTCTCTGAAAAGGCAAAGATTACTGATAAAAGGCCTCAAAGATTCTTTTTTAAACCATCGCAGCCCTGAGTATTAAACTACACACATCACGGCCTACATTTTTCATGCATCATATATTGCTCCATATTTGTGAACTTCATTTTTTTTCCAATGTTTATTCATTTCTCAAACTTTGATTAACTGATCCACTTAAAATCTAAGGGGTCATTATGTGGGCCTTCACTTTCTCTCATATCTACAGAATATATATACAGTCATATGCAAATGTTTGAACACCCCTGGCTTTGATTTGTGGATTCTTGATGTGAAAACAAACCACAACACATCCTCTATAGCAGGCATGTCAAACTGGGGACCTTCCAGGCAGTGGAGATCAGCGTTTACCCTCATTTAACGCTCTGAGCTCAGTTCTTCAAGGTCTTGCTAATTAGCTGATGAGCTGAATCAGGTGTGTTTACTGAGGCAGTGAGCTGAAGTCTGCAGTGTTTCGGCCGGCGAGGACTGGATGAGCTCCAAGGGGAACTTTAAAACGGCACTTTTCTTCAAATTTTATTGGCTATATTCGAAAAAAGTGCTCTCTGTAAAGAATGTGTTCACTTATTTTCACTCAGAAAATCAACTAAACATGGAATTTGACCAGGTTTACCCAAACTTTTGCATACAACCATAAAAACCAGCATACAAATTAAAAGATTAGTACATATTAGTTGTTGTCAATTTATTTTGAACATTATTTTGGATTTATTTCAAACATTTGTTAAAGCAAGCGTTCATTATTAAGTTAACATTTAAAAAAAAACAGGTGGTTGTAGATAGATAATGAACTAGCTATATTTGCTTTTGTAGACATTGTGACCCCTGGTTTCTATCACCACCACTGTAAAGGAGTCTGTAGGTATTTCTATAAATGAATTATTTTGCATCAAACTGCTCTGAATGACTTTGTTTTACATCTCAACCACAAAATTATGCAGAAATTTTGCACAATTGGTGGAATTCCCCTTCAACTAATGTAGTAAATAATGTGACAGGAGCAATACATTAATATAAAGCATTACCCAAGGGAACGAGGAAGGAAAGGCTAAACCTGTTAATATGTCCTAATAATAATAATAATAATAATAATAAAAGTCAATTTGATCATATTCAGATTCAAAAAGCAATCATTTTATAATCTGTGACTAAAACAGTGTTTACTCATCTCGATCTTCTGTTTGTAGCTGCTGGTGATGCTGCTCCAGGAAGCTGTGAGACGCAGGGAGAAGACTGTAGATTCTGGAAGCCTCTTTCTCTTCTGGCTTCTGCAGGTCATCTGTGAGATCTTCCCTTTCCAGACCTTGCTGAGACAGGCTTTAACAGAGGTACTGACTGACCCCCGGTTCACCGTTCTAGAGCGCCAATGCTCGTGCCGTGGATTTGGTTAGTGATCCTTCTTTGTCCTTCTCCTCAGGAGGGGATATCGGATCTTCCCAGGTTCTGTCTCTTCTACATAACCTTCGGCCTGCAGCTGGTCGCTTTGGTTTTGTCAGCCATAGCAGACGTTCCAACTGATCTGAAGGAAGTAGTGAAACGGGTGAGGCTGTTTGTTTAATGTGTGAACTGATAAGAAATTTGAAAATATAGTCTTTGCATATCAATTTCTTCATTTTGTCCTCTCCCACCTACAGAATCCAGAAGCTGGTGCTGCATTTGTTAGTAGGATCACGTTCAACTGGTTTAACCGGTAGGTTTTGGTAGCTTTTTCTTAGAGATGCTCTGATATTTTTGGCCAATGACAATAATCGATAACTAACACTAATACAAACGTCAGTCAGCAGTAATTTAACTTTTGCATTTTAAAATAAGTTCAAACAACTATAATCCACCCAAGGAGGCCTATTTATCAGTGAATAAGATATGAGCCACTAGGCCTGTGTGAGAAGCAGGGAGGGTGTCTCTGCTACTACTACTGCTGGTAATACTACTACTGTTACTGCTACCGCTACTATCACTGCTACTGCTACTACTACTACTATTACTACCATTGCTACTGCTTCTTCTACTGTTATTACTGCTGCTACTGCTACTACTACTACTATTACTACCATTGCTACTGCTTCTTCTACTGTTATTACTGCTGCTACTACTACTACTACTACTACCATTGCTACTGCTTCTTCTACTGTTATTACTGCTGCTACTGCTACTACTACTACTACCATTGCTACTGCTTCTTCTACTGTTATTACTGCTGCTACTGCTACTACTACTGCTATTACTACCATTGCTACTGCTTCTTCTACTGTTATTACTGCTGCTACTGCTACTACTACTGATACTACTACCATTGCTACTGCTTCTTCTACTGTTATTACTGCTGCTACTACTACTACTACTACTACCATTGCTACTGCTTCTTCTACTGTTATTACTGCTGCTACTGCTACTACTACTGATACTACTGCTACTAGAATTGCTGCTACTGCTGATAATACCACTACTTCTGCCACTCTCACTGTAACTGCTACTACTACCTCAGTTTCTGTTGCTGCTACTTTTGCTAGTACTTCTAATGTTACTACTACTGTTAACTGCTACTGCTACTGCTGCTACAACTACTACTGTTACTACCACTGTTACTACTACTACTGCTGTTACTGCTACTACTACTACCAGTGCTACTGCTACTACTGCTAATGCTAATGCTACTAATACTGCTAGTGCTACTACCAGTGCTACTGTTACTACTGCTAATGCTAATGCTACTAATACTGCTAGTGCTACTACCAGTGCTACTGTTACTACTGCTAATGCTACTACCACTGCTACTGCTACTACTGCTAATGCTAATGCTACTACCACTGCTACTACTTCCACTACTGCTATACCACTGTTACTGCTGCGAATTCTACTACTGCTAATGCTATTACCACTGCTACTGCTACTACTACTGCTGATACCACTCCTACTAATACTGCTACTGCTACTGCTACCACTGTTACTGCTACTATTACTTCTACCTCTGCTACTGCTAGTACTAGTGCTACTGCTACTGTTACTACTTCTACTGCTACTGCTAGTACTAGTGCTACTGCTACTGCTACTACTACTACTGCTACTACTGCTACTACCACTGTTGCTACTGCTACTGCTACTACTACTACTAATAATAATAATAATAGCAACACTTTTTCTTCTGGTAATATTCAGACATTTCCAACACTGAAGCAGACGCAGTAGCGAACACAGTGATGGCGTCTTTAGTTGAAGCTTAATCTTTGTCAAGTAACAGAACATAATAATAATGCACTGACATTCATCTAGTAAGGAAGAACAGACTCACAACAGACATGTCATACAAAGTCACCAGGTTGTTTTGTCTGAGACCATTCAACCTAACTTTCTCCAAGACCTGAAGCTGTTTTGTCTGAAAGCCTTTACTGTGATCTTGGGACGTCCTACAATGTATGCAGAAATGCAGGCGGCTTTTTGTACAGGCATGATACGTGCCAGTACGATGGCACACGGTCCACCGCCCCCTCGAGTGTGTTCAACCAGCACAGCTCAACAGCCACATTTCTAGGACAAACTCTATTACATTATGCATAAATGTGGTATCAATGGAGGAGATCATATGTAGCAGTTCAGTTATGTTCATGTGTGGGAATACTAGTGTATTCCTATGGTTTGCATGAAATAAACCAATAAATTAGCAACCTTTTAAGCAGTGGTTAATGCATTTTACCATCATTTGTGGCTGTTCCCATGGTAACTCGGTTAACTGTCTTTAGGCACAGGCTTCTTGGCCATTATTTAATACAAAACATTTCAAAGACAGATGTTTTGTAGGCCGATTTTGCTCACTAACATGAAACAAGAACTTCATCTACTGGCTGAATGATTAGAAGTAGTAGCCCTGTCACTTCATTAGCTTGGCATTGTGCTAGCAACTTCAAAGGGAGCCCCCGGGATGCTTGTTCTGCATATTAGGCTGCGCACTTAATGCTTACCTGTTTACAGTTCTGGCCTAAGCTTCCAAACAGTGGAGTGTTTTTCACGCTAAAGATGCCCAGCCATGTTTTTGTCATTAGGGGGAACACAAGTGCTAATGAGCAACTCTACCTCATTTGACACAACCGAAAGCAAGATGAAAAGCCTCTTTCAGGCGTGATAAATGAAGCCTATAGAGCATCTATACACACACAGAGATTTCACAAGTTAGCACACAATCTCTGAGCACTCTGGCCTTTTTCACTGCTCTCAATAGTGCTTATTTTCCCCTGGAGGACAAATCCGATGTTTTTCTAATGTCCCGAGCCCTTCGAAAATGCATTTGTCGCTTCATAATAGATGTTTCATCCACAATCTGTTCGTTCAAGGATGGTCATCAACGGCTTCAAGAGACCGCTGATTCAGGAGGACATGTGGGACTTGAACGAGAAGGATGGCACTAGCCACATCAGCCAGGAGTTTGAGGAGGTCATGAACCAGGAGTTGAGGAAAGCTCGCATCAGATTACAGAGGAAGCAGAGCAAGAAGAAATCCAAGTCAAAGTCAGGGCCTGACCAAAACGGCCTGGCCAAAGGAATCAGTCAGGATGTCCTGGTCATGGTGAGGAAGGAGTCTTACAACATTTTCTGGGTGGTTATATGTGGAAGTGTTAGTTCTGGGCTTCCATTTCTTTACTGATGGTTTACTTTAGTGATGGTTCAGTGTTTGGCATCTGAGGTTTGCTTCCTTAATGGAAGCTAATAGTCAGTATCTAGTTAACCAGATCATCACATGCAAATCTTAAACCGGGAAGAGTCGTTAAGTAATATCAAATAGACTTGTTCATGTAGTTTCTGACATGGCACACTGCTTTAAAAACAGGTAACACTTTACTTGAACGTTGCTATGTTGACAACGTTTTCATAACAGATTTGGTTCAGTAATCTAACAGTGTTAATATAACCACTACTGTTAACTGTCATGACAGATGTCATGATGTTTGCTGTCATGCTTGTAGCATGGTTCAAGTGTTACCGAACAGTAACAGTAACAGTAACTGTTAGATTACTGAACCAAATCTGTTATGAAAACGTTGTCAACGTAGCAAAGTTCAAGTAAAGTGTTACCCACTATTCTGTAGCAGTCTAGGCCCCGAAAAAGGTTCCATAAGGTTGCAAAAGAACCACATTTTTGCAGTTTAAGAACTTGCCATGAATGGTCCTAGTACCAACAATCATTGAGGAACCTTTATTTTTAGTGTAGTGGGAAGGCGGCCCTATTCACTCCGAGTTAAAATCTGATTGGACGGTTTTGATTGGCATACCGTGGCTCCCTCTAGAAGGTTCTTGGCACCTTCACTACAAGTTACCGTCTCAGCAAAGTCGGTTCTTACTTTTGCTGCTTTCTCAAACATATTTTAATAAATATTCCAAAATGCAAATGCATCATATTGGTTCCCAAGTTTGGACTGAGATGAGAAGGTAATTTGCTTGTTAGCGCCTTCAGAGCTATGCGGTTCTAGAGTTGGAGGTGGTTAAAGAGTTGTTTGGTTTGGTTCATGACGGAGCGAGACAGTCTTCTGCGCCCACGTTCTTTGGCTGACCTCGCCTTTCATGTATGCAATTAGGAGGACACAGGAGAAAAGGCAGAAAAGAAGAAGAAAAAGAAGAAAGAAAAGAAGCCTGACAACTCAAATTATCCCAAGTCCTGGCTGGTGCCTTCCATTCTGAAAACGTGTAAATGGATCCTTATAGAATCGGCCATCTTCAAGCTGCTGCAGGACCTGCTGGCCTTTGCGAGCCCTCAGCTGCTAAAGTGAGTACTTTTGTTGGTTTTTAAACACAGGAAGTTTGGTTTTTCTGTGTGAGCACTTTGCTTTGGTATAGATTATGTATGGATGCTCAAATTGATGATGAACTATATGGTGAAACCCTGTAGGGCCAGTGTCCAGCACAATTTGGGAGTTCTCCTGCTCAAACACACCCACTAAACCTGGCAATCAACTGTATTTGAGCAGGAAAGCCACCAAACTGTGCTGGACACTGGCCCTCCAGGCCGAGAATTGTGCACCCCTGCTCCAGTATTAGGTTCAGTTTTGAGATTAGATCTTAATTAGATGGATTAGATGGGTGGATCTAGACAGAATAGATGTTTTTTTAATATTTCTCCACCTTTATTTAATCATTCTCTTTATGCAAAGTTATCTATTGTTTGGTTAGTTCTCAAGCATATCGCTGCTGTCGGAAGAAAACCTTGTATCTCCATTTTGCCGTTTTTCAGTTTTTGACATAATTTGAAAATGGCTGTTGTCCTTTACATTGTCTGTAAATTTCAGAATAAATGGACCAAAAGAAATGTCCAATAATTATTTGGAAAAACGTCTGGTTCCATTGACTTACATTAAAAGTAGAGGATGTTTTTCCTTTTCCTGTAAAATTCTTATTTTGGTGATACAAGGTTTTGTTCGATATACAATTGAAGAAACTGCACTTAATTATAGGCTCTACAAACTAATGAGCAACACGTTAATACTTTGAGTGCCACTTGGAAAGATTATAATGAAGATTCTCAGAAGCTCGTCTGCAAGAAGGGTGCGAATCGTTGCACTCGCCTGCCAGTTGTTTTGACGGACCCTCTCCTCAGCTACTACCGAGACTCAGTTTATCATGCTGAGCTGGGTGATGCGTCCTGAGTGGTATTGGTAGCGTTACCACCCTTACCAATAATCTGTTTTCTGTACAGATGACATATAACATCAAGTCGTTCTCCATGTTTATTTGTTTGTAAACACACACAATTAGTGACACCGGAAGCTCGCCCAGATGGTATTATATGGTATTTATCTGGTATTAGAGAAAATGTTCATTTCTTTTACTGTAATAATTCTGCAGACACTAATCTACATTCACATTATCGTCCAAGCTTACTTTGATGAACGTTGGGTGGGCATTTACAAAGCATCTACGGTGGACCATGGGGTGTCACGATACCTGAAGGCATTTTTTAAAAATACTCATCATAATTTAAAGAACTCATTATAATATTTAGCTGATAAGTTGACATAGAAAAAAGCCCAAATAGTGCTATGTTTAAAAAAAAAAATACTTCCAAAAGCTATAAGTATAATGATTTTTGTATTATGTTTCACATAAATCCACATAAATGTTCCATTAAATCTGATTAAACATGACTAATTATCCACTATTCATTAAAAAATGTACACTGAAAAAAATGGTAAATGAGGTAACAAGCAGTTGAGCTAGTTTTATTCAACTCAAAATATGATATTGATTAAAAGAATCATGCTTGTTTAGTTTGAATAAAAAACGTTAATTTACTTTTTACCACATACAGTAATTTTTTAGGTTAATTTGATTAGCCATTTTTTACAGTGTAGTTGATGGTCTTAAAGTACTGACCATGTCCCTTCTATGCTCAAAAAGCTTTCTCTGATTTGTAATTTATCAAAATAACAACAAGAAATCATCCTATTGCCCACCCACAGTGGACCTCCAGATTAATATGTTGCAAAAGCTTTAATCGTTATCATAGGCAAAGCTTACTGAATGCTTGTGTTGACTTCATTTGTGTTATTACTAGTTTTTTTCTCTATAGAGTCCAACAACATGCTCAGTTCTGATGATTCCTCCTGAAATGTGGTTTGGTTTGTTCCAGGGTCATGATATCCTTCACTCAGGACAAGACCATTTTCATGTGGCAGGGGTACATTTATGCAGTGCTGCTCTTGATCGTGACGTTCCTACAGTCAGTGTTCCTCCAGCAGTATTTCCACCGCTGTTTTGTGCTGGGAATGAAAGTTCGCACTGCCATCATGGCAGCTGTTTATAAGAAGGTACACGCATTACATCATTGCATCATTCTTGCTCTGTAAAAGTGTTAATGATCAGTTCTGTACTGTTAACAAGACTGTAATGTATACCCCTGCTGAATTGTGCATTGTTATATTTAATTAACAATGAGAGGTTTCATTTTCTGACCATCTGCTATTAGCTTTGAAATAAAACCTTGTATCCCAAAAAATATTACTACAGGATTACGGGAGATGGAATTTTTTGAAAAAGTTATTTTGGACCATTTGACACAATATAAATGGCTGCTGGTTGTTTAAAATAATGTAAAAAGAATGAAAAAAATGGAGATACAAGGTTTTGTTCTGACAGCAGCAAATAGGAAACAGTTATTTGTGATTGTAAATGTAACCAACAAAGACTGAACTTTTGAGGTTTAAAAACTAAAAGCAAGTCTCACAAAAATAATGAAAGCTATAATAAAGGCAAAAAGCAGATAATCTAAATGCTTAAAATATTGATGTCATATGTAGTTGTTTAAGTTTTGTGGAATTAAATATTTGGCACAGTACAGGGTAGTTTTTGAGCTGTGCATGTGCTTTGGAATTGGATCTATAGCAGAGTGGTTAAGTCACTTCAGACCTACGCTCTCAAGAGAGTACACCACTGCTCTAACACTGGACAAAACTCCTAACACTACTTTCTGGAAAGTAATGTTTGACTTTAAAAATTTACTTAATTCAGAAACTTCTGGAATGAACTTTGTGCCTGTTGTCATTAACTTCAGTCACCAGCCGGTTGCTGTGTTGATTGAGCTGATTCGCTCTCGATGTCTTCTTCAGGCTTTGGTTGTGTCCAACGACGCTCGCAAGGAGTCCACTGTTGGAGAGACAGTGAATCTGATGTCAGCTGATGCTCAACGCTTCAATGATGTCACTAACTTCATCCACCTCTTGTGGTCGTGCCCACTGCAGATCATTCTGTCTATAGTTTTTCTCTGGCTCGAGCTGGGGCCATCTGTCCTGGCTGGCCTGTTGGTCATGGTGCTTATGGTTCCCATTAACGGACTGCTGGCAACCAAATCTAAAACCTTCCAGGTACTCCAGATTTCTGTTGTGAATTAGTTCGGAATTATCATGCTGAGTCTAATTTTCTGATAATTTCTTGTGCAGATCCTTCATTTCATTTCACTGCAATTTGTTAATAATTGGACAGTGACTTTTGTTGTCTTGGTTCAGGGGATCAACACATTGGATTTAAAATGAAACTGTAATTTGGAAGCCCATATCCTACATTTTTCTTATATTTTATGTTTTTCCCTGATGTCCACTTTTGATGTTTTTGTGGGTTTATATATCAGAAGCAGACAAAATTTTCCAAGACCATTTTCCAACCTCTCCTCATTCCTCAGAATTGAACCGGCTGCTTTTGTTAATATTGCTACTGAGCCCTACTGGTGAACATCCCATGTAAATAAGAATAATGCATGGCCACGACTTAGTAAGCCCTGGAAATGAGATCCCAATGTGTGGCCACGACTTAGTAAGCCCTGGAAATGAGATCCCAATGTGTGGCCACGACTTAGTAAACCCTGGAAATGAGATCCCAATGTGTGGCCACGACTTACTAAGCCCTGGAAATGAGATCCCAATGTGTGGCCATGACTTAGTAAATCCTGGAAATGAGATCCCAATGTGTGGCCACGACTTAGTAAGCCCTGGAAATGAGATCCCAATGTGTGGCCACGACTTACTAAGCCCTGGAAATGAGATCCCAATGTGTGGCCATGACTTAGTAAATCCTGGAAATGAGATCCCAATGTGTGGCCACGACTTAGTAAGCCCTGGAAATGAGATCACAATGTGTGGCCACGACTTAGTAAGCCCTGGAAATGAGATCCCAATATGTGGCCACGACTTAGTAAGGCCTTACTAGGCCTTAGTAAGTCATGGTCACGCATTAGGATCTCGTCCCCACACCTTAATAAGTCATGGTCACACATTAGGATCTCGTCCCCACACCTTAATAAGTCATGGTCACACATTAGGATCTCGTCCCCACACCTTACTAAGTCATGGTCACACATTAGGATCTCGTCCCCATACCTTACTAAGTCATGGTCACACATTAGGATCTCGTCCCCACACTTTACTAAGTCATGGTCACACATTAGGATCTCGTCCCCACACCTTACTAAGTCTTGGTCACACATTAGGATCTCGTCCCCACACCTTACTAAGTCATGGTCACACAATAGGGTCTCGAACTTACATACAACATCAAACTCACTTATGTGTTATAGGCTCTATAAAAGTGCAGGTTTTCTGTTTTATTTCAAGGGTATTTACAGTGAGTCACATAGGGTTATAGGCCTCTTTATACATGCCCCCATTTGACCACATCATATAATTAGATATGTTGGTGCTCAGTTGTTTCTTGGTCAGCTGTGTGTTCATAAAAAAGAAGGCCAACCAAAGGCTGTTGCTGTTGTGTCACTGCCAGTGTACATGATTCAGAAAACCTGAATTAATCAGGCAGAGACATAGCCAGAACAATATAGGTGTCAAAACCAACTGTTTGGAACCTTGTTTAGAAGCATGGATGAGCATAGAAATAGCAAACAGCCTGGCAAACCACAGGAACCCACAGTAGTGGATCTTGAAGAGAAAATGTTGAGAAGATGAGGCAAAGATTTATTAAAGTCTACCTTAAACAAGGACGGCCTCAGATGATTCACCACAAGACGCAAACCATTGATAAGCCTCAACAGCACAGTCTTACAGTCTGATAAGTTTCTGAAAATGCCTGAAATACATAGGGACAGATGAGGTGAATATTAAAGGGGCACTCAGGCCTAAAACTAAAAATTAAATAAGCTGTTTGTCATGTAATATTCTGTGGTGGAGCTTTGCATCCATCAGCCTTATCAGTTCAACAGAGTTCATGGTTGTGCTCTCATGTTTTTGGCACTGTTCTCTCACCACAGTACCCATGCATTACACAAACACAGTATATGGGCAAAAGTATTGGGGCACCTACAGGAGCTTTTATGAATCCCATTCTAAATCCATAGGCATTGATATGGAGTTGGTCCCCCCTTTGTAGCTATAACAGCTTCCACTCTTCTGGGAAGCTTTCTACCGGATGTTGGAGAGTGTCCGTGGGAATTTTTGCCCATTCATCCAGAAGAGCATTTGTGAGGCCAAACACTGATGTTGGACGAGAGGGTCTGGCTCACAATCTCCATTCTAGTTCATCTTAAAGGTGTTGATGGGGTTGAGGTCAGAACTCTGTGAGGTCCAGTCAAGTTCTTCCACACCAAACTTATCCACTCTGTCTGGGTTTGGTGAATGCCAGGAGAACGTTACCTGCCTGACTGCACTGTGCCAGCTGTAAAGTTTGGTGGAGGAGGGATGATGATATGGGGTTAGACCCTTTAGTTCCAGTGGAGGGAAATCTTACTGCTTCAGCAACAAGACATTTTGGCCAATCCCATGCTTCCAACTTTGTGTGAACAGTTTGGGGAAGAACCTTTCCTGTTCCAGCATGACTGAGCCCCAGTGCACAAAGCAGCTCCATAGAGTGTCGAAGAACTTGACTGACCCACACAGAGCCCTGACCTCAACCCCATCAACACCTTTGGGATGAACCAGAATGGAGATTGTGAGCCAGGCCCTCTAGTGGCTAGAGTAGAGAGTGAAATCAATAAAGATGATGCATCTCATTATTACAGATTATATATTACATTATATATTATAATATTGACCGTATTATAGCCTGTATATTCTACATTGGGATATTTTGTAATTTACACATCTTTAGCTTCAGAAAAGACCCTCTTTTTCGTTACTTTGTCTCTTCTAACCCACCATGGAACATATGATCTCCGTTTCAGATGAAAAACATGAAGCTGAAGGACAAACGCATGAAAATCATGAATGAAATCCTGAATGGTATCAAGGTGAGCAGTCTACTGATTATACAGCACTGAAAGGTCCTTTTGACATTGCAGACCCTTCAAACTGAAAACCCCTTTAAATGTAAAGCTGAGAAAATTGTTAATGTTGTATTGGTTCGTTTATATAACGTATGCTTTACGTTCTGCCAGTCAGACTGTGGCCACTCAAAGATATTAATTAATATGCAGTCCAGGGGCCGGGGCTACAGCAGCTTCGCATAAAAGCATCTCATCGACCTATTATCGGTGGCTGAAATGTCAAGCAGAGATATTTTTTCTGCCGAAAGAGCTGCTTTTTTGTGCCGGAGGACCCACCTGCAGCTGCAGTGGGGTGCACTGCACTCCTAAGTGTTCATGTCCTTTGTTCTTGCTCTTTAACATCCATTTCTTGCTCTTTCTTTTTATTGTCCCACTCTCTTTCTCCCTCCTTCCCTCTGTGCTTTCTTTTAACTCGTCCCACTTCGCCACGCTCCCACCCTATTACAGATTCTCAAGCTGTACGCCTGGGAGCTGTCTTTTGAGGCTCAGGTTCAGGGCATCAGAGAGCAGGAGCTGAAGGTGATGAAAAAGTTTGCCTACCTGTCGTCCGTCTCCACCTTCATCTTCTCCTGCGCTCCAGCTCTGGTGGGTATGCTTTGCTGTCATGCCAAAATGTCCAAAATGGTACATTTATACTAACATGTTTAACTTGAGTTCGTTCCAGATAAAACGTTGCTGGAAAGGGTGTGTTTATTTTTCATTTTAACAAGCATCATTATACGTGATTTGGCCAAGGCGTGCCAAAACTTTTTCACACGACTGCATTTTTGCTTTGACACTTCTTTGCAGGCCTCTTTTCAGTCAAAACATTTAGGAAAATGCCACATATTTTGACAGAAAGAGTGCCATATTAAAAGTCTTTTTAAAACTAACTTGTTCTTTCACAATTAAGCAAAAAATAAAAAGAAGAAAAATAAATAATTTGGTTAATAAAAGGCAAAAAAATCAAATAAATAAAGCAAAGATTTTTGGCTTAGTGTGTTTTGAAATGCGGCCAAAGATTTTGGTGCATCCCCAACATACGTATGTAATTTAACCTATGTCGCTTTTTGTTGAATTTGACAATATTAGAGAATATATTAAAGAATATTATACGTATATGACTTACTGTGCAATGTAATTACCTGGTAAATGTTGCCTGAGTGATGAACTGTGGTTAATAGAGCTACAGTCTTTATTTTTTATTTTTTGATTTTAACCCAATTATCTTCCCTATTTAGTCGTCTCCAATTCCACCCGCTAGTTAGGACTCCCCCAATCACACAATACCATCAACGCTAGGAGGGCGAAGGCTAACACAGGCTTCCTCCGAGACCTGTGAAGCCAACCACCGCATCTTTTCAAACTGCCGCTCACGCAATGTCACTGGACAGCCGAACGCGCTCGGAGGAAAGCGCCAACCGCCAGATCTGTTACGTCAGCTAACAGACACCTGCGCTGACTAGCATTGCGCTGAGTGATGGTGGGAGAGGGAGGGGCCATCTTGCCCACCCAGAGAGAGCGAGGCCAATTGTGCTCTCTTGGACTCCCGGCTACGGACGGCTGTAGCATCACCAGGGATCGAACTCGTGATCTCCTGATGATAGGACCAACACGGGAGCCCTTAGAGCTACACTCTTTAAAAAGATGGTCCTTAAAGGGTTCTTCAGTAAAGATAATGGTTATATATATATATAGATCCATGAAAGGGTTATATAGCACCAAAAAGGGTCCTTCTATTGTTACAATGTTAAGGTGGTAACAGTAGGAAAACCGTTTTTTGGTGCTAAATAGAACGCTTTTCAGAAGGGTTCTATATATCCCTTTAACGGTTTAAAAGTGTTCAATTAAAATTCTCCTTTTGGTATTTATCTTTTAAAATTAATACTCATAGTTTATTCTGTTACTTTTAAGCTTTATTATCTGTCTGTAAAGCCTTTTGAGCTGCCACTGGAAAAATGCTCTATAAATATTACTATAATTACTATATTATTAGCGCTAAGCTAACGGCAATTCAAAATTAATTTTTGGCCTTTCTAGATTAAATGTAGACATTTGATGCACGTAAAAGACTCTCTTTGTTTTATTTATAACTTGTAACAGACTTGTTAATGTATATTTTATATTATATGGTACAGTTTTACTGCGAATCTGTTCATATAGAGTTCCGGCATAGAACTGCTAACAACTGACTGAAACAACTGCTAACTGACTGAAATGCATTGGTTTAGCTACCGCTTGTATTCACAGTCAGTGTCACATCTAGAACATCCGGAAGGTCTAGACTGATCTTTTTCTCTCAAAATTGGTCACAGCCATTGGAAATCTCAACTAGATTAAACTTAATCTGATACGTTAGGCCATCAGTTCAGCTCCTGAAGTTCTAACCAATGGTAGAGCTCGCTAGCTAGAAGCTACAAACCAAACGTAATCATAATTGGACAGTTTTCCATCAGGTGTTTTATGAATTTAACATTCTTAGTGCTTGCAGAGTGCGCAGTAGGTAGCACTGTCGCCTCACAGCAAGAAGGGTCTGGGTTCAATTCCCCGGCCGGGCAACCAGGGTTCTTTCTGTGTGGAGTTTGTATCTTCTCCCAGTGTCTGCTTGGGTTTCCTCCCACAGTCCAAAGACATGCAGACAACTGGAGACGTTAAGTTGCCCCTTAGTGTGAGTATGTATGTGTGTCTGCTCTGTGATTGACTGGTGACCTGTCCAGGGTGTTTCCTGCCTTCCACCAAATGACTGCTGGCATAGGCTCCAGCACCCCCTGCGACCCAGGAAGATAAGCGGCTTAGATAATGCGGGTGTGCTTGCGGAGTTAAAACAAGCCTAAAGATTACAGATATTTATTATCATTTCACAGAAACCATTAGGCCTTCTCTGAAGGCATAGCAGGTCCCGAGGGTTCCCCACTAATTTATATATAACCGAACTAAAGAACCTGCCAAATGTTCTTCTCCATTTAGCTCCCACCAACTGTCCATCCAAGCCTACGACCACATGTCTGTTCTAACATGTGCTGAGCTTTAACCACTTTGTTGTTACATAAAGAACAAATCAATATTATGTAATCATTACCTCATGTATTTGCCCACCTGACACGGGGTCAGCTATAGAATTCAGTCAGGATATGTTATGACGCAAAATCTATATTTTATGGACGTATATAGTGATGTGTAAAATGAATCTTCAGAGGTTTGTACCTTTGTCAAATCAGTGGTGATGATGGTAGTGTTAACGTATGGTCAGTAATAGGATAACAGTGTCCATATTACTGTAATAGCTTAATGATGTTTTGGGCTTCCCTTTACGAGGACTGTGATTCAGTGAAAGACGTATTATTTCTGAGTTGTTGTGTACTGTTTTCTGTAGGTGTCCTTGGCGACCTTTGCTGTTTTTGTGTCGGTCAGTTCAGATAACATCTTGGACGCAGAGAAAGCTTTTACGTCCATTTCTCTCTTCAACATCCTGCGTTTCCCACTTGGCATGCTCCCCATGCTGATCTCTAGCATGGTGCAGGTACTCAGCGCACACACACATACACATTTTTTGGTGCCATTATGCTTTCTAAGACCTCCGGTCAGCAGCAGATGTCTGAGGCTAGACAGCATGGTCCAGGGATTCCAGCCCTTAAACTACCGTGCTCGTTTTTGCATTTTCCCTGCTTTAACACACTCGGCCAAGTTTGTGAAGGGCTTAGTAATTAACTTATGAACGAGGTCTTAGGACTTCGAATACAGTTTCAGATCTGGATTTTGTAATCACTTGCAGTTAAACAGTTGATGTAACTGATTGGCCTTCTATCAACATGCATTTTTGGTGATTGGAACCTGTTTGGATTTGGCTTCACTGTTAGAAAGGCCAGACTCAATTCACATTGGCCCTTATTCATCAGCACTGCCTGAAAAAGAATGCAAATATGACCACCTTTTATGACGTATGAACTACAACTGCGTCAGATTTACAAACGTTCGTTTTTAAAACAGAGATTTCAGCGCAAAATATGAACCAGCTTTGGTGCGTGAAATCAAGCGCCTACCTGACTACCAGCACCTATTTTACATACTGTGTACATGAAGGCCCTAATTCATGCAGGTGTTTTGGTAGACAGCCAATAAAACAACAGCATTCAGCAGCTCGTGAGCCAATGGCTATGCTCATAGGTGGAGAGTAGTTGCCAAATTTGTTTATCCTAATGCTACTACTAATGTAAAATCAGTGCAGTCCAGTACACCTTTGTACAGCATTGCCATGTCCACAAACTATTAATATTACCTTTTTTTTTTATCTATTCTATTTTTATTCTCATTACTGGTATTATGGTACTGATAATAGGTTTGGTTAGCTGCAAATTAAGCATTTCCTTCATGTTAGTGACCTGTCATGCTCAAATTTACACTCTTACCAGACGTGAATTTGATTACACAGATATATGAAAGTGCTGAATAACAAAACTGTGTGCGATCAGATTTGACCTTGCGCAGTTTTGATGAATTACGGCTATTGTTTACATTCAGAGGTGGTCAAAGACTTGACGCATTCAACTTGACCTTGGCAAATAATGATGAAGTGTTTATTCATGTAGGTCTATGTCAGTTGTCATGAAGGTCTTATGTAAGTGTTATGTATCCTTATGAACACTACGCTGCAGTGAAGTGTTACCGTAAAAATTAGCTTATGATATAAGCTGTCATGACATCAAACATTGATGATGATTACAGGTAATAACAGCATGGCACGCTTATATTACTCAACCTAATATGTCATAACTCATAACAGCATATAACATGTGCCATGACATGTTTATCAGCAGGCTGTGACAATGGTAGGTAGTAAAAAGATTTCTTACGTGCAAATTTGGACCATCATTGTTGGTTCGTTTATCACCAAATGTTTATTCAAGGTATAAAGCAGCTGAGGAACAAGGTTTTGTCCCCGACAGCACCAATACGCATGTGCATAATTAAAGTATACCACTGCTTTTTGTGTTTCAAATATAATGTAGTCATGATTTCTCTGTTGCTCTTTTGCTTTTATAGACAACTGTGTCTAAAAAAAGGCTGGAGAAGTTCCTTGGTGGAGAGGACTTGGACCTGATGGCAGTGCAGCATGACAACAGCTTCCGTAATTTCACATCAACATTCAGATCAGTCATTTACACAAAACTGTTATCAGTTGCTCACCCATATGTAGCTATACTTTTGAATCACTTTTAATGGTTGTGCCTGAAACCACATACTACCTTACTAGATAGTACGTCAAAGCTAGCAGGCCACCATTAGAAATTCCATTCATTAGTTTAGCATGTATAGTATGGTTGTGTGCAGCTGAAGTCTTCTTATAAAAGGTAACAGGGCTTGAGAATGTTATGTCATGATGCAGTGTCTTATGGGTGATCCGCCCACCAATGGACTCACTAAATATGTTGGCCGAGCGGGCATGTGGATCTACATGCATCAAACATTAGAGCAAAATCAAAGAAAGCAGAACGGAGATTCAACTATGCTCAGTGTAGCCCATTGGAAGCACTGCAGTGAGCGCTGATAAACATCAAGCTCAAGTGAAATGAGTTATGATGTGACTGGGCTTGTAACGTTAGCTGAGGTAACAGATGATTAACATTGGTCAGTTGATCTTAAAGACTTTAGACTGGCTGCTTTTTGGTAAAACTGTCAAGCCACATCAGATCTAATGTGGAATTTTGTGGGTTCACTGTACACTAAAGCAATGGTGTCATTAGTATGCTAACTAGCTAGGCTAGCAATGCTGGCTAAAAGGCTACCCACTGTGGAATGTGCCAATAACTGAGTAAAATAAGCCAGTTACTGAATGAAATATAGGTCAGTATAGGTTTGAAATGTCAGAAACTGAGTGAAATATGTCCGTAACTCAGTAAAATATATCAGTAGCCGAGTAAAATATGTCAGTAACTGATGGGAATATGCCAATAAATGAATGAAGTAAGCCAGGAACTGAATGAAATATGTCAGTGACCAAGTAAAATAGCAATAACCAAGTGAAATATGCCAATAGCTGAGAGAAAATATGTCAATAATTGAGTGAAATATACCAGTAACTGAGTGAAATGTCAGTAATTGTGTGAAATATGTCAACTGTTTGGAATATGCCAATAACTGAGTGAAGTAAGCCAGTAACTCAATAAAATATGTCAGTAACCGAGTAAAATAACAACAACCAAATGAAATAGGGCAATAACTGAGTAAAAATGTCAATAACTGAGTGAATATACCAGCAACTGAGTGAATATGCCAATAAATGACTGAAATATGATAACTGAAGTTGGTTAATATAAACCCCCATCTCAACTTATTCACTTTTAAACATGACAATTTTGAAAAAACACAATAAAACAGACTCCTTTAGCTCTCGAATGGTGTGTGCTTATTTGCAGCATGTAAACAAGGAACGAACCCTGTCGATATGGTGCAACGATCCCATAATGCAGCATAATGTGACACTGATTCCCAAGCCCTATACTACAGAAAGCATTGACTTTCCCACCCTAACTCACCTCTGTCATGAGATTATCTTGATGGATGGCTTGTATTGTGAGGCTACAGAATGCAGAAGAGTTAAACGGGCCATGCTAAATATATATTAAGCTTTAACCACTGCTCTTACAACAGCTTGTTGTACACAAACCATTTCCTGGACCAAGTAAAAATTCGACTATGCTAGTTGAGGTTTGTTTTGTCCAGCTAAGCTATACAACTTTGAAATTAGCCCTCTGATTGCTATTTGTTGATGTGTCAACAAACACTGCCTGTTAGTTACACTGTAACTGTGGAACTGAAGCTAACTGTTTTATTTTGACTGAACAGAAACTGCAGTGACTGTGAGCAACGGCACTTTTGCCTGGGGCAGCGACGCCGAGCCGGTTCTGAAGAAGTGAGTATCTTTGGTTCTATCACTGTGTAATTCCAGCCGACCACTACAAATGTAAGAAGTAGAGCATATTTTATCAAAAATAACATCAACGCTTTCTGGTGACTTGTTGCAACCACACAAGGTTATACTGAAATGTTTGCATCTTCTACAAAGTACACGTCTGCACATTTTAATGCACAATTACTGTTTATTTGCTGAATTTAACATATTTAAAAAGTAAAACAAACACAAATTGTGGCCTGTGCAAAAGTTATGCCACATTTTATATTTAGTTTTTTGCCATTATGCAGAAAAATTTTGTATTTAAGAGCACGACTTGCACTTTACACCATTCCAGACGACGCTTGGCATTGCACATAGTGCTCTTAGGCTTGTGTGCAGCTGCTCAGCCAAGAAAACCCATTACATGACACACAGTTCTTGTGCTGATGTTGCTTCTAGAGGCATTTTGGAACTCTGTAGTTGTGTTGCAACAGAAGATTGTGGGATCTACTGCTTGGTCGCTGAGCTGTTGTTCCTCCTAGACGCTCCTGTTTCACAATAATAGCACTTACAATTGACCAGGGCAGATCTAGCAGGACATAAATCCAATAAACATCATATGGCAGTACCATGTCACTGAACTTTCCACTACAGCCAATTCTTCTGCTATTGTCTATGGAGATTGCATGGCTATGTTCTTGATTTTATACACCTGTCAGCAATGGATGTGGCTAAAACAATTGAACTCAATAATTAAACTTGGTGTTTTGGCCCTATAGTGTCTTAATACGTAACACAAAGTATTGAGGTCACCTGGCGATTTCACCTGCCGTTTATTCACCTGATTATAACTGAGCAGAGGCATAGGATTGTGGGACATCTTGGCCAGCAAAGGCTACATCTGTGCTTCCTTCAAACCCAAATGGGCCAGATGGAGATGCCTCAGCAGGAAGCAGTTTATAGATTTGGGACATGATGCCTTCTTGCTATCAAGTATTGCCTGAGTAGGTAGCATTTTTTCATTTCAGATGCTCCCACTGTCTGGTAGGAGGTGTTGGACCAATATGATTTCTGATGTAAGAGAATCCCTCTGTACGCCAGGACATAATGTAAAATGAACAGAAGAACATGGCCTAGTCGTCAGACAGAGCCACTTCCCTTTCCAAGCTTCCAGTGACTCATACTGTTCTCAGCTGCTTCACAAAGAGATTTTAGGATGCTGGAGTGGTACATGACCTTCAGAACGACATAAAACACAGCTAGTTCAATGTTTTGGGCCATTTAAGGGGGAAAGAGGGTGAGCGATATGATGCAGAAGAGCAAACAGAGATGGTAATACTGCTCTTCTGTGGCATCTTAACTTTGCTGTGACCCATGTGAATGCCATATATTCTACGGCAGGATGTAGATTCCTTGGGCTCTGCTCGTTCCACCACAGAACGTGTTTGATTCCACCACAGATCCTCATGGTATCAAGTTGAAAAAGGTTCAACTTCAGTCGAAAAGCTCCACCTGTTGTGTGGCTTTTCCTAAGGTAACCAGTCAAAAAAAAGGGAACGGGTCAAATTGAACTGAATGCAGGGTAGTAAGGCGTTTTGGCTTGGAGGTTAAAAAATATTCACTGCCATTTCCCTCTGTCTTTCTCCTTCAAAGAGAAGCACAGTAAGTGCTAGTTTCTTGAGTCTATCCGTTTACTATGATGTTTGATGTGGTCTTTAACTGTCCGCCCATAACACTGCCCATAAACATTCTGCCCGCTCCCTCTATGCTTTGCTAAACTTGTCACTGGCGGATTTCTCGCGGTTCAGACGTGGATTTTTTCGTGCAGGTTCTCACACAGCTAACTAGGGCAGGCCCGAATAATTCCAAGCATTTGGGTATTCCCTCATTGCTTGCAATCTCCATTCTAGTTCATTACAAAGGTGTTTGATGGGGTTGAGGTAAAGGGCTCTGTAGGGGCCAGTCAAGTTCTTCCACACCAAACTCACCCAGCCAGGCCTATAAGGAGTTTACTTTGTGCACTGGGGCTCAGTCATGCTGGGACAGACAAGGTTCTTCCCCAAACTGGTCCCACAAAGTTGGAAGCATAGGATTGTCCAAAATGTCTTGGTCTGGTGAGGCATTAAGATTTCCCTTCACTGGAACTAAAGGTTCTAGACCAACCCCTGAAAAACAACCTCATAGCATTATAGCATTATCCCTCCTCCACCAAACTTTACAATCAGGCAGGTAAGGTTCTCCTGACATTCGCCAAACCCAGACTCATCCATCAGACTGACAGATAGAGAAGTGTGATTCGTCACTCCACAGAATAGTGCTCCAGAGTCCAGTGGCGGCATACTTTACACCATTCATCTCATTCACTCTTCAGTACAAGCTCATTCTACAGCTGGTGTTTGTCTATCAAGACTGCAAGGCTATGTGCTTGATTTTATCCACCTGTTAATAATGTAATGGGTGTGGCTGGAACACCTGAACTCAGTAATTAGGAGGGGTGTCCCAGTACTTTTATCTATACAGTGTATGTTTGTAAAGACTGTGAAAGCTGTACAAAAAAAGTGCTGTGCCAGCTGCTGAGTGATTTGATTCATGCCCTTTTTCAACACTTACCCTGCCTCAGCATGCACCAAGTTGCTTTCTACCACGCCACTGTAATTAAATCATCGTGTTTCCATTTCTAGGCACCATTAGAGAGGTCTGAATGCTCTCTGTGTACTAAGCTGCGAGCTGCGCTTAGGCCACCTGTTTTTTTTATTGTTCTCAAAGCTCCCTGCAATCAAAGGGCTTCACCCCTTCTACCCTGCTATTGTTTATCGCTTGGCCCGTTCATTCATGTATTACACAGCAGAAGAAGCCATTTGGAGATATGTAGCCGTAATTCCAATTCAAGGCCAACATTCAGATTAGCAGTCAGCTGCCGGCCTAATTGCAATCAGCTAATTGTGGTCATGCGATTGTGTGAAAGTGTGTGCACCCATGTTACCAAGAGTGTTCTAGCTGCTTATCTGGCACATTGAAATGTATGTATTTCTACTTGTATTTTAAAAACGCCTCTATGCATGTTCCCTCAGTGTGTCTCTGGACATTGCTCCGGGTCGTCTGGTGGCTGTGGTGGGAGCGGTGGGGTCAGGCAAGTCCTCCTTGATCTCAGCTCTGCTGGGCGAAATGCACAACCATTCCGGCTCTATCAACATCAAGGTAATCAGGCGGATGAAGGGTTTCTATTTGCGGACTACTCATCCACCCCACATGTGGTCAGACCAGAGTTTCTCAATCTCATCCCAATCACTGGGACCAAATGCACCTCACCTTTTCTGTGTTTGTCCAGCTGATAATCAGCTGATGAGCTGAGTCTGGAGTGTTAGAGGATAGAAAAGTGCATTGTGAGGGCTCCTAGTATGAGAAGTGTCATTCTAAAGTTACATGCTAATAAATAGATACCCTGATCAGCCACAGCGTTAAAACCACCTCCTTGTTTCTACACTCAGTGTCCATTTTATCAGCTCCACTGACCATATAAGGAGCACTTTGTAGTTCTACAGTTACAGACTGTAGTCCATCTGCTCAGGACCCCCACAGAGCAGGTACTATTTGGGTGGTGGATCATTCTCAGCACTGCAGTAACACTGGCGTGGTGGTGGTGTGTTAGTGTGTGTTGCGCTGGTGTGAGCGGATCAGACAGCAGTGCTGCTGGATTTTTTCAAAATATAGTAGTACATGATATTTAAGTGATTGTCATACAATTATTTGATTCCCACTTTTTGAATATGAGGCATTCCAGATATTAATTCAGTTAGAAGTTCATTTTCGATACAGATTTCTTAATTATCATGGAATCTACAGTGAAAATATTTTGATTTGACAGCTTTCTACATATAGTTTTACACTCATAGAGTGTTAGCATCATATTAGAATCATTATTTTGCATTTATAACATAGTTATGAAGTGTCATTACCATGTAATTGAACATATAAGGCAAAAGCCTAGTTAAGAAAACCATTTAACAGTTATATGGAAAATGCTGAGGTCCTCAAACTGAGACATTTATGGTGTTCTTGACTAGGCCACTGCCTAGTGTCATAACATCCTGATTGTTTAGAACGCCCTGATATATGTGGAACATTAGGATTTGCTTAGAACATCCATATCCTGATATATTTAGAATGGTCAGATGTTTACAATATCCTGATTTATCTTTTACATCATAAATATTAATACTAACAGTCTTATTAATTGAATAAATGTCTGTAACTTCAGTTTAAGGACCTTTTTGTCAATACAGTGTCATTTACTTTATAAACATCTAATGTCATCTTGCGTATACTGCTGTAAGCTCTTTGTAAAACTTAGTCTCCAAAGTTGTGGACAAATTTTTATAAAATGGAAAGTTCTAATTCCAAAATCTGGCTGAGCTACGTTAAAAAATATTGTGATGTAAATACTCAAGTGCTGCTTTTTAAATATAACATTCAGGGCTAATGCATGTTTTATGAATTACCTTTGTAAGGAGCCTTTAAATACAGTGTTACCTTAAAAACATTGATTCCAAATGTTTGAATGATAGTGAACATATGCTTATCCAGCCATTCTTTTGGAATAAGGGGTGTTAGGGAGGTTGTAGCCTCTAATAGGCAGTAACAGCCACTACTCTTCTGGAAAGGCTTTACAATAGATGTTGAACATTGCTGTGAGGATCTGATTGAGCATTAGTGAGGTCAGGTACTGATGTTGGATGGTCAGTTCGAGATCACTCCAACTCATCCGAATTGGTATTGGAGCTCCGTCACTCCAGTCAAGGCAGTCCTACTGATCCAATGCCCAATGCAGGGGTGGTTAATGTACAGCTGCTCCAGAGGGGCTATGCTTTGGATATGCTTTTCTATGGAGACTAGCATATACAAGCTGTGTGCCACCAATGGGTGCACCTTAACTAGCTGAGTTTACTAAGTAGAAGGTGTGTCTGGATACGTTTGGACATAAAACATGCACTGAACATTAAAGTGTAGTTATTTTACTCGTGGTTGGGAATAATGTCCTAATAACCTACTGTTTTTTTTTCCCATTAGGGAAATGTGGCATATGTGCCTCAACAGGCTTGGATTCAGAACGCCACCCTAAAGGACAACATACTGTTTGGCTCTGATCTGGATGAGAATAAGTTCCAGAGGGTAGTGAAGGCCTGTGCTCTGGAACCAGACCTGGAGCTGCTGCCAGGAGGAGTCCTGACTGAAATTGGAGAGAAAGTAAGGCTCATGTGGCAAGATAAGTCTGTGCTATGTAGCCAACCTGGATCAAATTCAGAGCTATGCTGTTCAGTGATGGGGGAAAAAATGAGATATGACCATTCTGGAGCGCACTGAGGAGGTATGATTGGCAGGCCTACAGATGACAGGAGAAAATAATGCAGCAGACGTCGTCTTTTTTACAGACATATCAGGCAAAATCCAAGCAAAATGGCATTTTAGTTTGGTTTAGCAGCAAGAGTTACATTTTATTGGCATGACTTTATCAGGTAACACAATACATAACATTTCTAAAAGTCTTTGAGCATCAACTTTGAACTAATTGTTGGAGAAGTTCAGAGACTATTTAATTAATTTCCAGTCAAAACACCATTAACCCTTAGAACCCCAAAAATCTGGGGGATTTTTGTTGGTATTTTGGGTCAATTACAATTGAAATTATAAAGTATTTACATGAAACACATCTGTTGTTATTTTCATGAGATCCTGGGCTACTCAGATATGCCATAATTTGATATGTAAACGCCAACGAATGCTAAAATTTGATATATTTATGAATTTGGGTCATTTCTGGTCAAAAATGTACCTAGAAACTGCAAAATGTGGTATTTTTTTGCTTATAGAGATCTTAATACACATCAAGAAAGGCTTTATTTTTAATTACAAATTGAGTTTGAGTATTTAATATTAGATATTTCTAATACTCAATTCAATGTAAACTGAAAGACAGAGCTAGATATTATTAATTTTATAATAATATTTTTCAAATGTATTGTTATGTATCTGTTAAAATGTGTTTTAGGGCCTGTTTGTGTGATTTTGAGTGAAAGTGCACTCAGTGTGGTGGATGGGGACACCGCTTTTGTCGCATTTTCTTTCATCCCTCCTCCACTCCCTCTGCTCTGATGCATGCACACACCGCATGGCCAGCGTTTAGCCTCAATTTTATACATGTGACCGCATTTTGAGTCATTTTATGTGTGTATTTAGCTGTAAATGTCTGGTTGTCAGCACTAAACTCAATCAGAGGACTGTTCGGGACACGAGGGAAAGTTTTAGACTGAATATGTTGTTTACCAACGATATTTATCACAACTTAGCCATGCATGTTTCAACCAAAATGTCCCTGCACACTTCTTATTTAGCTCTTGAGGCTGCTTTTTTCCTGATGTTGAGGAACAAATAACTTGTACTTAATGGCCAATTTGACTGGAAATCAAATAAAAGGGTGACTTTTTGCACGGTTCTATCCAATCAGTTAACGTACCGTATCCCCCACAGGGCATCAACCTGAGTGGAGGGCAGAAGCAGAGGGTGAGCTTGGCTCGGGCAGCCTACAGCTCAGCGGACGTGTACCTGCTGGACGACCCGCTGTCCGCCGTGGACTCCCACGTGGGGAAACATCTGTTCGAGAGGGTGATTGGCCCCAAAGGACTACTTAAGAATAAGGTTAGTGGCTAACTGCATGTTTCATGTTTAGCTGTGTGGACTGAAGTTGCCGTTTCAAAGCGGGTTGCAGTGCTGCCTCATCTAAAGGAGGACCGTTTGCTTCAAAGGGTTCAAAGTGAGGTGAACGGCGTTCAGCTGTGTGAGACAACAAAGTGAAAGATTCAGTCTTCCACTGCAACAGCTGTGTACCCACTTTCGCCAATTATATCCGCCTGCTTCCTGCTGCCGAATGAAAGACCCAAGTGGCATTTTTTTTTATCAGTGAATCATTATAACGGCTTGATTAATGCTGGAAAACATGCATGGCTAAGTTGTTTATTTGTTTAAAAAACTTCAGTTGTCACTTATTTACCAGTCCTCTATAGTAGACACCAAATACACTGTGCCATGAGAACTTATAGGCTTTTTAAATTGATTCCTGCTTAGAAAATGTGACCTTAAAATGTGCTCACAAGTGTATGTGAGTTTACATATGCAGCCCAGATGAATACCAAGCTGGTAGATTCTTATTTTAGCTCAACATATAATATAATTTATATATCAATAGATTAAATTTGACTTTTTTATCACAGCTGAATGGTTGATGCTATCGGAAATGGCTCACAGCTGCAGTACGTTTGGCCTTTATGTGGAGACAAACCATATATAATTCCATTACTAGGCTATGTGTATGTTATACAGTAGATATCCCACACTGGCTAATTACGTATTCATCTGTGAGCTTTCTGCCGCATTGATTTGAAGTGGAATTTATTCAGACATCCTGTTTCTTTCTCTGCTTTGCTTTTCAGACTCGTATTCTGGTGACCCATGGGATCAGCTTCCTGCCGTATGTGGATGAGATAGTTGTGTTGGTGGATGGCGTGGTGTCAGAGGTTGGCTCTTACAGCAGTTTGCGGGCCAGCAAGGGAGCTTTCTCAGAGTTCCTGGACACATATGCAAAAGAGGAGAGCAATAAGTCTGATGATTGGAAGGGTGAGTCTTTCACTGGAATAATGTAGCCAGATTTCATAACGCTGCGCAAAAGTCAGACGCCACCCTTTCGGTTGTTTAATTTCTAGTTGAAACAGCCATTAAGTACAAGTTATTCGTTTTTAGTGTCAGGAAGCATATCGCTGCTGTCGGAACGAAACCTTTTATCTCCAAAACAGCAACTTTACAGGAGATGGAAAAAACTTGCTTTACTTTTAATGTAAGTCAATGGAACCAGACGTTTTTCCAAGTCATTTTGGCCCATTTCTTTTGGTTCATTCATCATGAAATTTACAAACAATGTAAAGGGCAACAGGCATTTTCAAACTATGTCAAAACCTGAAAAACTGTTCCTGACGGCAGTGAAATACTGAAAAGAAAATTACACAAAAGCCTGCAACACATCAAATCTATCGTTTAATTTACCCACTATTTATTTTATTGTGGCTTCCTTTTTTCTTTACCTGGTCCTGTTACCTGTTTACTTGTTTTCTTTTTTTTACTTCAATTTTTCAAAGAAATCTGCAGGGATATTTTTTACACACCTTCAAAGTTTTAGAAGTCTTAGAAGTTGGTTTTGCTTTTTCCGCTTCTCACAGAACTTCACTCCATATCTCAGATGTCCAGTTTCAGTGTTCTAGTGTAAATCTGTCTGTCTCCTTTTCTCAGTGAGGTCTTCTTGACAGCTACACATCCTTTCAGACCCATAGCGCTGAGTCGTTTTCTCACAGTGGAAGGATGGACAGAAACACCTGTGGATGTTTTCAGATCTGAAGCAGCTTGATTTTCTGCTGTCTACTACCTCTTTAACTCCGTCCCTCCAATCTTAAAACCAGGTTGTGTCCTCCAAACAAAATAAGTTCCCAAAGGAGTCACTGACATTGAATTGCCATTTAAAGAGATGCTATTATCTAGGGGTCCAAGCACTCTAAGAAGACAGAGCTTTCGAGTGAGGCCTTCCCAGAATCAGAGTCACCCTTCCTGGGTAAACGATGGAGCTCTGTTGTCTGGATTCCTCCAGAGCTCCCCAGAATTAGTGATCAGAGCGCAGGCTAGTCTAATCCAGAGTTTAGTTTTTGGGAGGCTCAAAAAATTCACACAAGCAACTATCTAATTTCTTCAACTGGAGTTCACAAAGTATTAAAAGCTACAGAGAAAATGAGGCTCCTAACAGCCACTTGGAAGACCTGGTAGACACCAAAACTGCCCCCATCAGATAAACAAGACTTAAAGCTTTCATCTTTGAGAGAGAGGAGAAAATCAAGCTGCTTCAGATCTGAAAACATCCACAGGTGTTTCTGTCCATCCTTCCACTGTGAGAAGACGACTCAGCGCTGTGGGTCTGAAAGGATGTGTAGCTGGTCAAGAAGAACCTTACTGAGAAAAGGAGACGGACACATCAGACAAAGAAGCTGAACAATGGACTGACCACCCCAGAGTCCAGACCTCAACACCACTGAATGTGTTTGATTACTTCAGAAAATGATCAACCAGCTTCTAAGACTGAACTTTGGAGGTTTGTCTGCAGATTCTTTGAGGAACTGAAAGTGAGGCTCCTGAAAAGAATGGAAGCTGGAATAAAGGCAAAGTGTGGACACAGTAAATACTTAAAAAATGATATTATATTAAGTCGTTGAGGCCTTTTTTCCTTATTACTTGTACTTGCCAACATTTTTGACTGGGAATTAAACAAAGTAAGTGACGTTTGGTCTCAGTGCTGCACATCACATTGGTTTCAGTCTCGTCCATCACATTCCCGCATATAAAGCTACAAGATTGTGAAAAGCATTTTTGCACAGAGTCAAAACAATCTCAAACATCTTAACGCTGGTGCCAATACACCCGGGAAGTAAACAAGCATTGGGTAAAAAAAATGGCTTTATTTGTTCATAATATTCTGTTCAGTGAAGCAATATGGAGTGACTCAAAACAAAAAACAGCCTTTGAAAGACAGTCCATACTCTGAATCTGCCTTCAGATGAGATGTTGAAGGCTCACACTCCAGACCGTGACTTTTTTGTTCTTTCTCAAGAACCGACTGTCAATGGAAAAATGATCGTTTGCGTTAGCTGATGTTGTTCCCTGCCAATCAAGCTGAGGCTGAAATTCGCAGAGTGTCGTTTAAGTGGATTCCATTTAGAAATGTTCAAAAGTCACCATTTCACTTTGCTTCCGAACACGTATCCCGCAGTATTGATTGATTTAGGCATTGTTCTCTAATATAGAATCAGCATCAGACACTGAGCAGATGGATGTCGTGCCAGAGGGTCAGGACCCGCAGGCCGACAGCCCCCCCGAGGACGTGGTCTCTGTCACATTGAAGAGAGAAAACAGCTTACGCCACAGCCAGCGCCATGCCACGCGCAACGGCAGGTAGGTTTATTATCCACATCGTTGTAATGCTAGTTTCTTTCAGCATCTTTTCCAGTGCGAATAATCTAATAACGTACTCTTATATGCCCCTACCCTGTCAATTCAGCATAAAAGTGAGACGCAACAGCTCAGCTAGAAGTAAAAAAGACTCAGAGGTGACAAAGAAAGGCCAACGGCTGATTGAGAAAGAAGCAATGGAGACTGGAAAGGTAGGTGAAAAATAGAAAATCTACCAATCAGCATACTTCATCTCCGTTGCAGTTCAGGTTGTGCAATGCGCTCAAATTCACCCTCTATTGCATGGTGTTGCCTCAGGACAACAAACTGATTTTCCTTACTTTACAATAAAATTATACATTTTTAAAGACAAAGATAGGGTTAACAATAAAGGGAAGAGTTTGAGTGAGTCGGTAAAAGCATATATTTGGTCATGCTGTCTCTTAGCGGGCACATTTAAACCTCTTTTTTAACGTTCAGTTTTTTTTTTTGTTTTGAGAGTTTGCAGAAAGATGTTTGTTGCCTAGAAGCAACATTGTATGACAGTGGAATGGATTTAGACAGTCACAAGCCAGGTCTCACCACTTCAGGAAACATGGCTCTATATCATTTTTTTCACATTGTTGCACACTGTTGCCTCAAGGCAACATACTCCAAAAAGACACCTGCACACATTATTTTTTTTAAATGTTTTGGAATTTAATAATCAGGTCTGAAAAAATAAATCAAGGATCATTTTTTGCAAGAAAAGTGAATTGATTATTGTTTTTAAATTGCTCTCATAATGCGTGTAGTAGAGGGTCAAAGGTGATATTCTCTACTTTAACCTCATTGTCTTATTATAAATTGTGCTACAGTCCAGAACCAGACAGTAATAAATGTCACAATGCCCACTTAACATCGTAGAAAAACACTTCATAACATGTTCATGAATGTTAAAATCAACATTTATACAGCATACATGTTTTACCAAGTGTTACCAAAAATGGTGCCTCCTTTTTTTCCCTTTTTATTTCGCAACCTAAAGGCAGGGCTGCCACATAAGTTGTGCTTGATTGGACCCACTTAATCCTCAACTTCTTGACCAGACTACTGAAACCCACAATAATATGTTGTCTAGTCCCTCCCATATGCTGTGATTTTGCACCCTCAATTCAAATGGACATCATCTTGTACTTAAACAAGACCTCCTTCCTCATCCAGTGTTGCATTTTGGGTTTTTTTTGGCCCCATATTTTTTTTTGGCCTGTAGTTACTTGTAAGTGTGGCATCTGTCGCATAATGCTGACGTAAACATCGGCGCAATTACGTCTCAATCCGGTTTGCTTGGGGTCATTTAGAGGAAATAATACAGATTCTTTATCTACCAATCAGCCAGTCACATTACATTTCCAGACCTCCTCTGGGAAAACTAATCCAGCTCCAATAGGGCTTTAGTTACAGATGGCGCTGTAATTCTTGTGGCAGCTGAGGAACTGAGTTCTTCCCACTAATCTCACTTTGTTCATTTATTTTTTCCCTTCCAGGTGAAGTTCTCTGTGTACATGCAGTATCTGAGGTCTATGGGCTGGGGTTATGCCACCATGTTTGTTGCAGTCTATTTCGTCCAGAACGTGGCCTTCATTGGCCAGAACGTGTGGCTGAGCGAATGGACCAATGATGCTGTTAGGTATCCCAATGAAAGCAGCTACCCCGCCCATGTCAGAGATATGAGAATTGGTGTCTTTGGAGCTCTTGGAATTGCACAAGGTAAGGAATAATATCTGTACTAAGTGATTCCACGACTGGTGCAATAGCAGTAAAGTCTCTCATGATGGGGAATATGTGAAGTTGTTGCTTATTGCGCTGTAGCCTATGGACTAAAACAGTTTTAGACCACTGATACCTTGAGGGAAGAACAATAGTGTAGGTATTCTGATCTCAGATGGATTCTGTTAGGACTGGGTATTGTTTAAAATCTCCACAGATATCGATACATATACATTGACTTTGATACTGAAACTCGAATTATGCATTTTTATTATCTTTTAAATTACAAAACTTGAACACTGCAAAAAATTGATCTTAAATCTAGTCAATATATCTAATATTTCCCATTTTAAGATTGTTGTGTACTTATTATGAGATTATTTAGCTCATTTCTAGACACTTTGTATTTGTTTTAGGTAATTTTATCAAGTAAGATGATCTCACTGTACTGGCAGATAATTTTTCTGGTTTCAAACACTTAAAACAAGCAAAATTATCTGCCAGTATAGTGAGATAATTGTACTTAATTAAATAACGTAAATATGTCTAGAAATGAGATAATCTTAAATTAAGCTTTCAACAATCTCAAGAGGAGAAATATTAGATTTATTGACTATATTTAAGATGATTTTAATTGACAAGACACAATTCTTTGCAGTGAGGGTGTGGCTTAAGACAGAAATGAGTGTGAGGTGCTGGAAGTGGATATGTCTATGGATTGCAATGGATTACAGACCATTCAAGATGCGCTGGGGTTAATGACATGCGTACAGAATGTAATTTAGACAGCCAATCAGCAGTCTTGATTTTAGAACAAACAAACTTATAGGGCTCTTATAAGTCTGACAGTTTAGGCACTGACCTTTGATACTGAATTTTTGGGAACACTTTATGGTACATTCTTTAAAAAGATCGTTCTTCAGGGGTTCTTTAGAAAAGAAAATGCTTCTATCTAGAATAATGAACACTCAAAGAACCCTTTGCATGATTAAAGGGTTCTTTGCAACACAAAAGGGTTCCTCAAATGGTTGTAGAATGTGTTGTAAATGGTTCTATATAGAACCTTTTTGAAAAGCGAAGAACCCTTTTTGGTGCTATATATAGAGCCCTATATAGAACAATCTACAGCACATTTTTCATCAATGTGAAGAACGCTTTCACAATGCAAAGAACCCTTTAATCATGCAGGGGGTCCTTTGGGTGTTCACGTTTCTATATAGAACCATTTTCTGCACTAAAGAACCCTTGGAGAACCATCTTTTGGTGTGTAGTGTTCAGAAGGTTACATGATACCTACATAAGCCCTTTATGACAGCTCACAATGTCTAATGGAGACTGCATGGCTATGTGCTTGACTTTATACACCTGTTAGCAATAATTAGGAGGGGTGTCCACATACTTTTGGCCATGCATTGAGTGCTGCATCACGTGACATCACCTTCAACAGCTTAAGCAGCTTAGCTTTGCTTTGCTACTTTTATCTGTATCAACATTGTATCATTAACTAATCACTCAGGCTACAACTGAATCAGTCAAAGTTCATTGCAACAATTATTATCTTAATAATACAGTAACAATATTTGGGGTCACCTCTTCGGGGGGAGGCAGTAGTTTGTGATGAGCCCTTTATGGCACTTTGTCATAAAAACATAAGTGGAAAAAAGATTAACTTAGGTACAATAATTAATAATCAAAGAATCAAACATTTCCAAATTATAATTAAATACTAACAGAGACGTATAAATAAAAACAGTCGCAGACTAATTAAACGGCATCAGTTTGAGGCTGTGCAGCCGCCGGCACACAGTGCAGACAGTTAGCCAGAGATGGGGAGGTTTCTCAGGGTGTTTCTCCTACCATGTTCGGTGCAGATCTATCAAATGTTTTCTTTAGTTCGCTCTGTTTTGATGTGTGTGGACATTTCACCCACATTCGGGTCCAACAGCTGAATCAGTCTGGCAAATACCATGGGTCCATCTGAACCCTGTTCAGTTCAGTGCTGGTGGGATGCATTTTATGATAAAACGAGGGAATTCATCAGCATAGCCTACTTTCTACCTCTTCCACCAGCACCTTGGCGCTGTACTGTCAGCTTAATCTGCCTGTATTGATGTCTGACTCTTTACAGACTCTCATTGTTCTCATATCGTTCTTGCACAGTTGATAAAAACGACAGTTGAGCCTTAAAATAATAGCGAAGATGTGCAGTTGATTTCTGGCCGAGCATCAGCGACCTGAGTAGTTAAACTCAAATTATTAAGCTAATGACAAAGAAGCAGATATAAAGTAAGATTTATTTTTGTTGTTTGTGGTGACGACGCTAATCCAAAAGCCCACTGAGTGGACCCTCAAACCCTCAAAACTAGAGAGACTCCAGACCAAACAGTGACTCCTGTGGGAAAGACACAAGAGTGTTTTGAGGCCCTAATTCACAGGTTTTCAGTGCGAGCAAGTAATGAAGAAAAAAAAAACTATTTTAAAAAGTTGATTTTGGTTTTTCTGTGGGCCGCTATGCTTTATAGTTATAAACAGGTGAGCCTTGGGATGGAAAAGGTGAGAAACGCCTGTTCTAGAGAGAATTTCATCTTTGAATGAGGTGGTTAAAATGCGCTCTTTGCGTTGATCTGTGTTTCAGTGCCTACACAATTCAGATTAGCCAGTTTGTGTGAGCCATCATTTAAATGGCAAGTCATAGTAAATCAGGTGCAAACTAGAGCCAGCTGCACTTGCTAAATTGTACAGTAATTTTGGTCCGCTTCTTGGTAAATCTGGCTTGTAAGTGTACTTACAAGGAAGGTGTACCTAATAAAGTGGGCAGGAAGTGTAGCTCAGAAGATCGTAACCCAGTTTATGGTGATTTTGGAGATGCTAGCGCCACATGTGATGAAAAAGAGAACGTTTGTCAAAAAGTTCTAGTTGATGGAAGACACCTGATCAGTCATGTTGGTTGTCGCCATGCCAACACCAGAGACGACCGTGATTGGTGTGCAAACGTTTGCAGGAATCCAACAGAGGCCAAATGAGGTTGCATTTCTGCCACCCGCTGTGCGAGATATCAGCTCTTTTTGGTGTGTAGGGGCCTTTATGGGTCTACAACCTGTGATTAAGCCAGTGTTCCCAAAAACATAGTAGGATTCAAGGTACACCTATAACAACCTCGTCCCTCCAGTGTACTCCAGCACGCTTTGAACCAGGAGGTGGGGGACGAAGCCAGCGTTTCAGTGATTACAGCCCCTGTGACTGGTGAGAATCACCTGTAAAGTCTATAATCATTTTGACTATTACAACACGTCATTGGTAACATCAGGCCATACATAGTAGGAATCCTGGGGGGTACAGTCATGGGAGATATGCTTCTGGTTCTATGCAGAAAGTGACGCTGCCTCAGGCTTAAGGAGTCCAAGTATGCGTGATAACTTGCCTGTTGCAGTGACGCTTGGTTCCTGGCCAGGTTGCTGTTGACTGTCTTCAGTCTTCTTGCTGTGAACAGTTTCACCGAATGATCGCGGCATCCTTTTATATGTAAATGTCAAGAGGTACTTCATGTGTCCAAGAGCAACCGGAAGGAAAGATGGATGAGAAAAGGAATGGCAGAGAACTCGGGCATAACAAAAGATGACAGACTGAAATAGCATCGTAGAGGCTCATGAATCTGCTGCAAAAACCCTTGACGGAAAAGAACGACTACGCTTTTCTTACAAAAAAAAAAATGCGTTCCTGCTCTATGAATAATATTGTAGAAGAAGAAACCATGATCACACTGGCAGAAAGGGGCACATACGGGATGCTGAACTCAGGGGAGGTCATCTCTTGCCACTGGTGACCCCTCCCTCTCACGCACAAAACCCGCACGTTAGCCCAGTCACCTACACCAAATAATACAAATAACACGCAACTTAAATTAGCAGACAACAACATAACCAACATAAGTCCCTTTTCAGGAGGGCGAGCACAAACCACGAGCCTCTGCATGTGGTCATCTGCATAGCCACGCCTCCAAAGCCAGAAGCAGAACAATACAATATTGTTGAAGCCTGTCCTGATTTCACTTCTCAAGGACGCTTGGTGAGAGTAAGCAAGTTAGCACGTTTTCATTTCCATGCATGCCAGTGCAGTTAACTGTAAAATGTGTCATGGTTTTAATTCAGTTATAGTACCAAGTATATTTAAGTTTACAAAAAGTCAGGCGCATTTCTCTCTACGCCTTTTGAGGTTCCTCTCAGAATTGTTGATTGACAGCTGTGATATGTATGATTCATCCAGTAAAACTGCGAGTACTGTGACCGGAAACCAGGGGAAGTAAGATCAGGGGAATGTGAATTTGGGCACCACACCGGCGTAGAGTAAGACACAGGACATGGAGGACATGATTGTGCTGCAGATAGTGCTCTTTTATTGAAACACCAGCAGAACGGCACGCACAAAGCACTGAACTCACGGGTGAGGTCACCATTAGGCCATATGTGTCCACCCCTTGGCGACAAACCCCACACACCCCCAACAAACAACACCCACACACCCCGACACAGAATAACACAAATCACACATACTGTTAAACTAACAGACAACAACACTGTGGCACGCGTCCATCCCCTGGGCCCCGATGACTGCCGTGAGAGCTGGCCGGTGAGAGCAGGTAAAGGATGAAATTCACGAAGGAGGCGGGGCCTGGCCAGCTCCCCTCTCTGGCGGCTGACGTCCTCCTCCCACCATCACTTGCATCCCTCGGTCATGTTTGGGGTTTGGACCCTGACTTCCCAACTGGTCTTGCGGCTGTCATCGGGGGACGGGCGCAGGGGAGTGCGCACTTCCCATGAGCCTCTATGGCAGCGCAAGAAATTAGCGGCCTCGGTTTCATTTTTGGGCTTTCTCTATTTGTTTTAATGAGCTATGAGTGAACAGTAATTCATATAAAAACATTATTGTGCTATTACCAGCGATAACTGTGACTTTCAAGGGTAGAAGGTGCATTCTGGGAATCCCTGTGGTGACAACAAATTGGACTGCTAGCCTAGCCACTGGTCCATAGGCTAACAAATACAACCAAGCTAGCGTTAGTTAGCATTAGTCTTACTCTCACCTCAGTCAGCCAAGACAATTGTATGGAAAACAGTGATCCCATCTTTATTCAATGCAAAACAGATGCTAGAGGCTCAGTTTTCACTCTTTCAGTCTTAATTAAGCATATTTACCTCAGATGTAGCGATGGAGAACACTAATATCCCTACTGAAAAATCCCATAGACAGTGTTTGTGTTGGTTCCTGATAGTTTTGTTAACATGTTTTGACCTTGTTAGTGGGTTGATATCACAATGTAAAGGATCCCACTGGTTTAAAATGTGACCAATGGCTGATTCCGAATGCATTTCATGGTTTCCTAATAGACTTGTGGTCTTGATCGGCAACCATTAAGCCAATTCTCATTAGAAAGCAAAAACATTAGGTTTTAGTCCTTTTTCCAGCAGGGATTACTTTCCTACCGACGTGAGCGTGTTGCCTGCACTTCTGTATTCTTTTTTCCCTGTTTCTCTGAGAGTCTACTTTGGATTGAGCTCCAACACGAGGAACAGAAAGTGTTTTCTTGATAATATCACAAGAGGTGAATAAGTGAGTCAGAAAATCAGATTCTAAAATGACTCACCTCTCCTGGAGAGCACAACATGAGCAAGGGCTAATGGCATTCTCACATAATGTAGCGCCCTACATGACATCTAGGCGGCCATTTTGGATTCAGTCTCTCCTTGTCCTTTCTGCTTGGAGACTCCGCTTTCAGTTCAACCCTAACCCTAACCCTAACATTCACTCTGCTAAGCAAAAAGTTTGGCATTTATTTTGTGAATAATAGCCTTTTCTGGCTAAAAATGGTGTAGAGTCTTCTTTCTTTCTTGTCGTTGTTAGCTGTGTAGCCTTTAGCTTGCTAACTAGCAGTGGTGAAGATGTATCAGCAGTTCACTCTGCTATCATTGTAATTTGCTCCCTCACTGGTTCTAATATTAATCACTAGAAAACTTTGTAACATCACTACACTACACTACAGTAATGCTAATTTCTGCTAGCATTCTATAGAATGTGCAGTGTTAAGTTAGCATCAAGCTAACTGGTGTACACTGACTTTCCCACGTTGGGTAAAATAGAGGAGTGTGGTGAACAACCTAACACTGGGGCACAAATTAACATGGACTTTTTACATGGTTAAAGAAGGTCAAGTAGTGTGAGCTTCTGGCTACATTGCCACATTTCCTAGCCGCAGTCTCCCACCAAAATTCATGGCGATTGGTCAGCATTAAATAGAGATCTGTGCCAAAAAGTGTGTTCAGATTTTTTTTCAACACAAGTTTTTTCGGTTACTGAGCCTGTTTTCGACAATGTAGCACCGTTTTGAAGCAACTGACAAGCTCACAGCGAGCGCTAGCTATGCTAAAGTACAGCCTCCGTACTGCGGGGTTAGTTGTCACACGGTGTTACAACTAAGCCAGCTTTATTAAACAAAGACAAATAAAGTAAATTTTGTTTTTTGTTCCACATGTTTGCACAGATTCTAAGATAAAAAAGCGAAAACATCTGAAAACAAGGATTTTCTTCAGCTTTATTAGTATCAGTTGTTAGCATTTCGATTTTAAATAAGTATATTGATGAAATTGACATTAACAGCTGGTAAAGCTGTAGTTATTCAGAAACACTGTTCCATATTTTACTGATGTGTGATGTTTTTATTTGCTTCACTGGACAAACATAAATGTGTCATTGTTTGACACACGGTCTCATATCAATGTTCATATATAATTTGATGTGTATCAGTCGATCTGTCTGTCTTATAGATAAATTATATATAATGCAGTAGGATTGGAAAGTATATTTCCTAGGAATTATATTGAATTAGCTTTGTTTGCACTAATTCATCAGACTTTTCTAACAAGTGTTAAACTGACCCTCTGTCTGTCACATTTAACCCACCCATGGGCTGAACTGTAACATTGTGCCTCCCGTAATTTTGGTTGGAATTGTACATGTCATGACATGTTATGGACAATAACATATATGTAAATATAAAATGCATAACAATTCATAATGCACAATAAGCATGGCTATAAAGTGTAATGCAAATATTTATATCCATGTTTATGGTGTATTATACCACCTTATGAATGTGTTCATTCTTACAGACGTGGTATTCAGAGAAAGTGTTACCACTTTATTTGTTGTTGAAGCCATTGATGGTGACAGTAACTGCAGCAGTAACCTGCACTGAAAGGTGTCAAACCATTAGTGAAAGCATAATTGTTTCAACATGAGGTTTCAATCAGTGGATAAAGAACGGTGATGTGTCGGGTCCTGAAAAAAACATACTTCATGCATTGCATTTATAAGCACTGCTACTCATCACGACAGCAATAAAATACATCATGCCCCGAAGAAAAAAGGCCCACTGAGAATGCTAAAGTAGATCCATTAGCTCATCTGCCATCCCATCGATTTCTCAATCTGTCTGCCAAAGCATTACCTGAAGTGTTTACAGAGGTCTTAATGGATGTGTATGACCTTATCTTCGCTTTTTCTGTCAGGTTTACTGGTGTTTGCGGGCACTCTGCTCCTGGCTGACGGAGCTATCTGTGCCTCCAGGACTCTACACACTCAACTTCTGTCCAACATCCTCAGAGCGCCAATGCTGTTCTTTGACACGACGCCGTCAGGCAGGGTGGTCAACCGCTTTGCAAAGGTAAGAAGAATCTACCTGTGTTGACTAAAGCTTGTGCACAGGGATTGTACAATATTGCATAGCTCTGTTTCTGAGAATTTTGCTTTTCATTTCCTTTGGCAGCCAATACTGGTGCGGGTCTTTAATGGGTATGACCTCATTTACATGTGGATTTTGATTGGTTCTTGTCTAGGACTCTAGTGAAAATACGGCTTACTGTGAAACAGAGACTGGTGTGCTAATTGCCACCACGGTGACTTGATGAAGAGCTCTTTTTGTGTGCCGTAGTGCTGTGAAGGGGTGTAACGATCTCTAAATTCACAGTTCTGTTCCAGCCTTGATTTTTAAACCACGGGCTGGCTCATACCTCATTTTTTTGGGGAATAGGATTTGAGATGGTGGGTGAAAAAGAAAAAAAATGGGGGAAAAATTGTATAGTTTTATAAAATCACCAACAATTTGGAACTGAAATTGGAAGCAATAAAGGCACGAGGCAAAGACGAAACTCAAAGGCTTATGAAGGAGTGAGTATTAAAGAGAAAACTACAAACTTAAGAAAAGGAGAATGCAACTAGCCAAAGCTGGGAGTCAAACTATCATCTGTTGGCGAACTATTGTGCTAAACAGCACACCACCAGAGAGAATGGTGATAATGCCGACTGAAGAATTTACCAAGGATAGTCTAGAGATCCCTGAATCACAAAGACACAAAAGCTTCCTTTTCAGAATTCGAGACTAGAGGATTTTAACCAATTACCAGCTAAATCAGAGTAACTTGCATGTAGAGGCGTGAACTCAGGACTGAGCGGAGAGTAACGTGTGGGCACCCCTTAAATAAGGCATCCCCAGCTGTCACCGCTCAACTTTTAATTAGTCCTTCCTGCCCTCCGGCTCCTCTTAGTGGCTGGAGGAGTCCCAGCAGACTGCCTTGATGTTACAAAAAGATGGTTTACAGCTTGCCCTAACTTTGAATAAAATAATAATTTTCCGTAAGGTACATGTGTTATAGTATTAATTATGAAATGAAAAATGAGTTTTGTTACATTAGTAACATAATGAGAGCTCAACAGGCTGCACCAGCAGCAGTGGCGGCTTGTTGGGGTTTGGATGGAGGGGGATTTTCGTGGTTACATTTTCCATAACTGCCACACAAGATTGTGAAAGTTTGTGTCGCAGTTTCGGTCTCAATTTTGTCACCTAGCTGTTACCATCACGTTATATGAATCTGGCCCCTTGTCTTATTATATTCCCTCATTAACCAATATTTTTGCATCTTTCTGTTTCTTAGTCATGACACTTTTTTCAGTTGTATTTTATGGGGTGTACTTGTTATTGGCAATGCTATTAGGGAAATGCTCCTTAAGATCATTATGTCCAAGCTTTTGAGCTCAGTGTCAGCAGGCAGGTGGTGAGCTGGCCAAACCTGACAATAACCCGGCTACCAGCGCAGCCATAATGACCTTGGTGTGAATAATGACCTGACACCAGCATCAAATAACTTTTCCGTCCTTTCACCTCAAAGGTGATATCCTAACAGTAAGTAGGACCAGCAGTATAATCAGCATGCTTTGTTCCCCTCTAGGATATATTTACCGTGGATGAGATGATCCCTATGTCTTTCCGCTCTTGGGTCCTTTGTCTGCTGGGAGTTCTTGGCACGTTGTTCGTCATCTGTCTCGCCACTCCGCTTTTCACCGCGATCATTGTGCCTCTCGCAGTGGTCTACTACTTTGTTCAGGTAATATCATGATGCGACCTACAAAGCAGCCCGATACGTCTGTTCATTGTTGCAGTAAAACCTCAGTGAGATTTTATTCAGAAGCTGACGAAGCCATTCACAGCTTCTGTGGAAGCTAAAAATAAGTTGATGAGTAGATTTCTCTGTATGTGGGTACCAGCTTGTGGACATGTGGACAAGTGTCTTGACAGGTTCAAGCTGTTATGCAGTGGTGAGGTCATCTCTTTTGTTCCTGCATGTTGTTTTTTTTTGTGTTGTAGAGGTTCTACGTGGCCACGTCCAGGCAGCTGAGGCGGCTAGACTCCGTATCCCGCTCTCCCATCTACTCCCACTTCGGAGAAACAGTCGCAGGCCTCTCCGTCATTCGAGCCTATGGGCACCAGGAGCGCTTCCTGGAACGCAACAAAGTCACCATTGATGACAACCTGAAGAGCGTCTACCCTTGGATTGTTTCCAACAGGTCTGAAACCTATCCATCTAGGACTTTTGCAAAGTGGGAAGCAGAGGTTCTCATGTCAAGCTGCTTTGTCAGATCATACTAATCATCTCCATTTTGTGAATTTTGTATTTCTTGAAAACCTCATGTTCCTTGTTGAATTGCAGATGGCTAGCCATGAGGCTGGAGTCCCTGGGTAACCTGGTGGTGTTTTTCTCAGCGTTGTTTGCGGTGATATCTCGAGACTCCTTGGACAGCGGCTTGGTCGGGCTATCCATCTCCTACGCCTTAAATGTAAGGGCACATCTTTAAAGCTGGGCTTACACTTCACAACACTTTTACCCTGGTTTTAGCCCCGATTTTCAGTCTGGCCAAGTCTGTCCTAGTTGGCTCTAGTCTGCAGATTTCTGGGTCAGTCGGAGTCGACAGTTGGAGAGAGAGTCGAGTTGTGTGTGAGGGGAGCAGACTCCGATTTTTGGCCTCCCAATCACGTTTCAGACCAGGCAGAGTTTATCAATCATGTTTTTCAACCCGACTCTGGGTGTAATCTACTGTAAACTGATCAACAACTCAAACTGAACAGATTCCGGCAACAGCCACTGAAAGCTGAGAGCGCAAAAGAAGGAAATACAGCAAGTAAACAGAGAAAAATGGCAGAAAGTCACTCACATGTGGAAGATTTTTAAAGAGCTGAGTTTAAGGCACAATCAAGTTTATGTACATTTAAAACTCAAAAATACCAACTGATCACATTTTTAAATCATTGATCCTTAAACATGTTTACCTGCTGCTTCTTTACTGTTTCAGCAGAGAAAACAGCAGCAGCAGCTCATGTTTGTTTATTTGGGTCTCCTAGTAGCGGGAGAACGCAAGAGTTTGTGAGAGTTTGCATGAGTTCAGTGAGTTCCGTTCGGTTTAGCAGCAGCTGAAAAGTTGAGTATTATGTGATCCCTAATTGTTCAGTGTGGATCCCCAGTATTACGGTCGCCCCAAAATATCTGCAAAAACCAGTCTGACAGTGTGAGACGCCCAGTCTTTTATAATCTGTTAAGACTTTAAAAGTCATGTAGTGAACCCAGGGCTTAAGCCTTAAAAGATACAATGGCACAATTATATAGTTACATTAGGAATTGCATTTACATTCAATTTACTGTATTGACAGGTTCAAATCTGCACTTCTGACATTTTTTGCATTGGCTTGATGACAACCAATGACAAACATCTCAAAAATATATAGGCTTTTTCAGTTGTTTGTTTAGTTTACCACTGAAAAACAACAAGAACTTTGCCTCCAATTCAAACATTACCTGGACATGCAGAAACACTGTATGCACTTTAAACAGAATTTGACGTTATGCTAGGCTACATGCTTAAATGTAATGTTATATATACTGTAAGTTGCAACAAATGAGTGGAATTTGCAATGAACGTGCAATTTGATACTTTAGTCTGGGGGAGCAATCATAAGGGTCTAAGAAGTCCTAGCAACCCCAATTATCCTGTTCTCACTCAGAACATGTTTCAGTATGTATTCTGTACTATTTACCACTTTGTTCATTGGCCTGTTCAAGAAAAGTGCACCTTATGAGTGTTTATAATTGCATTGAAGTCTTACTGAATAATAAGCCTTAGTATGTAATAAGAAGAGGTTAACTAGCACAGTTGTACAGTAACAATAAGCAGTAGCCTTTTTCTTTTAGTTTACTTTCAATGTACATTTCTACAGTAAGCAATGCGTGGAGCTTGTTTTTTCCTCTCTTTAAGCTTAAATCAGTAGCTGAAGTGTTGGTTTTTGTTCTGTGTTTGACATAAAAAAATGTCACAGTTGTTCAGAAGGTGAGATTTTATAATTACTTTTCTTTCTTCTATACATATTAGGTGACTCAGACTTTGAACTGGCTTGTAAGAATGACCTCAGAGCTGGAGACCAACATTGTGGCGGTGGAGAGAGTCAGCGAGTACGCAGAGATCAAAAATGAGGTACGTCTCGCTTAGAATTAGTTTCTGAAAAAGCCGATGCGGCCTCATTTGTTCTGTCAAATTAGTCAGTTTGTTCATTAAAAATAAAATTTATATTAAGGACATCTAACATTTCACAGGGCAGGAGTTCCCTGCACTAACTCAGCTTTTGCAGCATGACAGGGGATTGATCATTTGCTGATGGTTGATATGTATTGGAACCGATTTACTTGAAGGCTTCTTGCATAAAGGCTGCGTGAAACATGCATTGATTGACATATTTAAAAAGCAGTATTTCAGTATTTATGAGGAGCTCATGTCAGTATTGGCAAAAAATGAAAAGATTTAATGAGGGGAATGACATGAGTTAACATAAGGGGCCTTAAACTAAAGTGAGAGACATTTCTACCACTTATAACACTGTTATGAAGCATCATTCTGAGGCCTAAGCCCCATTTCAATTGCCCAAATTTTTAACTTACCCTCACCCACCTCGACTCACCACACAGATGTGCATCACTTCTACATTACACAAGTGGCCACTCATGGCAGAAGTGGACAGTGGCTAGTAAACTGTTTAAACGGAATGCGCTAGCATGTTAGCCTTAGTGAGCTAATCGGGTAGTAGCCATGTAAAGTTTGCAATGCAAAACGATTTTAAGACGTTTGAGTGTAACATACGTAACGTGTGAGTAATTGCTTTGTCTGGCTACAAACTTGGAGGAAAACTGTGGTGTAACGCCTTTGTTTTTGTTCTTGTTAGCCGTGCAACCTTTAGCATGCTAGCAAGTCAGCTAGCAAAGTAAAGTGATGAAGTTCGATCAGAAGTATAACAGATGGAGTAGGTTGTAACTTATAGCCCAACACATAGAATGCTGTGGTTTCCAAATGCTAACCCTCTGCTGCACAATGTTGCCTCAGGGCAACAAACTCATTTTCCTCACATTAGAATAACATTATACAAATCCAAAGACAACGATAGGGTTGACGATAAATAAAGGAGTTTGGGTATGTCAATAAAAAACATGTACTTGGTCATACTATTTCTGAATGGGCACATTTAAACCTCTTTAACGTTCACTATCAGTTTTTTTTTATTATGAGAATTTACAGAAATATGTTTGTTGCCTAGAATCAACATTGTGCGACAGTGGAATGGATTTAGCCAGGCCTCACCACTTCAGGGAGCATGGCTCTGTATCATTATTTCCCATTGTTGCAAAATGTTGCCTCAAGGCAACATACTCCAAAAAGACCCCTCTACACATTTTTTTTTTGTAATGTTTTTGAATTGAATAATCAGGTCTGAAAAAATAAATCAAGGACCATTTTATGCAAGAGAAGTTAATTGAATATTTTTTTAATTGCTCTCAAAATGCTTGCAGTGGAGGGTTAAAGTAGCCTGTGGCCTTATGGCCTTTGCTGTTAATTTGGGGTTTGAAAATGGAAATGCATCAGATTGCAATGGTTTCTGGGCAAGTTCTGCTGCTGAAGCCGACAGTAGTGTTTGCTTGGTCCCTCGCTCCTCTTTGGGCTCAGCTAATAGCCTTCACGTCAGGTAATCAAGTAATTCAAGAGCCCTTAAAGTGGCTCTGGGGACCCCCCCGAGGGGAAATGATGAGTCCAATAGGATGAGGACTTGTTAAAGCGGTACTGGAACGGGGGGCTAGTTAAGGACACAATATTTCAGGGCTATGAAAGATGATTCTGATTCACTTAATAAGACATATTTAGAACTGATACATGATGTGCTTAAGCATTTCTTTGAAAATCCTTCATAACAATGTTGTAAGCGGAACAAAGGTTCTGTTGCTTTAGAGGCCTTATGTCAATACAGTGTCATTTACGTAAATACAGCGTGTCATCCTGCAATTACTGGCATAGGCTAAATACTTAAAACTGGTCTTTTAAATTGATTATTCAGTGCTTATGCATGTGTTATAAAGCCTCTGTGTAGACAGCCTTCAAATAAAGTGTTATTAAATTATCTTATCTCTATATATGCACCACTTTAAAATAAGAATGCCTTTATAAAGAGTTTATGAATGGTTTAAAATAGTTTGTTCTTGGTTATAAGTGAGGTCATTAATAAGCAGTTATAACACATGAATAAAAAGGATGAGTGAGCTGTTATATATGATGAATTTAAATATGTATTATTAATATTATATAAATGGATGTGGGTTCACTATTAAATAAACAACAGGTGACTGCTGCCCTTGTTATTTATGTGTCATAAATGCTTATTAATGCTTTTAATGTCTTTAAGACCTAATTAATAACCATTAATATGGGTGGTCTGATTTTAAAGTGGGACCCCTACCATAAACTACAATGAAAGTAAACTGTTTTAAGGGATTAACCTTTTTCCCTCTTTGGTTCTCTCTTTAGGCTGCGTGGACCACAGATAACCGTCCTCCGGATGACTGGCCCTCTGAAGGGAAGGTTCATTTTGAGGACTATAAGGTCCGGTACCGGCCCGAGCTGGAGCTGGTCCTGCACGGCGTAACCTGTGACATTGAAAGCACTGAGAAGGTACAACATTCTGGACGCAGGGTCGATGCCAGCATTGCAATACCTCAATCAAAACTGTAAAGCCGTCAGGCTTTAAGAGCTGGCCGAAGTGTCAACACAGCTCTTAGTGTAATGACACAGCACAGATAGCCAGAGAACATTTTTAATTCAAGAGGATGGTGAGTGGGCCTTTGCACTGTATCCTATCAACAAGAAAAATGAAAGGTGACATCGGAGGTGTGGAGGGTTTGACACGTGAGACCCAAGAGTGGGTTTCAAACAAATAAGCTCAGATTTCATCCAGCTGTCTGTGGGAAGGGCTGGTGATCTCACTGTCCAAAACTAAGGGTCAAAATGCATCAGTGAAGGCTTCTTTTGAGAATCAGAGCTCAAAGATTTAGGTGGAGACCACAGGCAGTTTAGGGTCTTTTAAAGCTGGTTTGCTTGTCTGTCATTAAAGTATATGGTGAAATACAGTCCTCACATGCTTGTGAAGAAACTAGCTGGACTGGGGTCAAAACTCACACCCATTCGGTCACACCCATATCACTGACGTCTGTTTGAATCTGATTTAGCCCCCGAACGCTACCGGATAGCCAGTCAGCGCTCGCTTGGCGCACAGCTCAGCGGATTCGCTCAATGCATAGATTTTGGAGGTGTTTATGTCGTGGCCTCTCTGGGAGCCTCTGTTAGCCAGACTTACAGATGAACACCATCACCAAATACGTTTATGTGCGTATAGGTTTTAAATCAGCCTTTAGTACAACCTTGGGTTAAAACAACCCCATGCAAATTTCCACGTCAGTCAACGTTCCATCGCAATGTGTGAAAAAAGAGTTTCTTCTAAAGTATAGAGGCACCTGAAGGAGCATTTACTTGCATTCTCTGCAGCCCAAATCAAGTCGGTCCTACATCAAGTGTACGATTATACGATAAGTCGTGAGAGGCCGTGCGACTGCGATTTTACCACAGGAAAGAGTGTTGTTAGGCATGATGCAAAGTGGAGCTTTAAAACGGCAGCCAACCTAAAATTTGATGAAATACACAATTTTTCAAAAAATAATTTGTTATTGTTAAAATTAATCTACATAAGTATTCCACCAAGAAATGTAGTTCCCTTAGCGTACAGTATACGCTGCTAAATGAGGAAAAAAACGTTCGGACATCGCTGTGTACTGCAGTCATTTCATGAACTTTTTAACTTGTCGTATAACAATGAACATATGATAACAGCGCTGTTTAATACACAAACCTTTGCTTTGTAAGTACTTTTTGGTCACTAAATTACCACCACAAGTCTTATTTAGCACCAATCCAGCGGTGCCCTCTTCTCACACTGGGGCTGAATCTCAAACGGCTCCCTGTTCCCTACATAGTGCACTACCTAGGAATTTAAATAGTGGATCCTGCAGCCCAACAGAGCAAAATACAGCTAAGAAATAGTCATTTGGGATTCCAACACATCCACACTTGATAAATGATGCACTGTTTGGCTGTAGAGGCTGGAATTTCTAAACTTCCATAGCAAGAACACTATTTAGGGAGTACGGAGCCGTTTGGGATTCAGCCTGGGTTTGACGCAAATTCTGACTAAAACACGGATATTTGAAGCGTGTAAGTCATTCAAGTGACATTTTTAGTCTTTTATACTGCCGTTTCACAGTGAATCATAACGGAAGTACTTTAATATTGTGATATTAATGATGATAACTATCTTTTAGCCTGTTAGCTAGCTGACCAAGGGTTTTTTGTGACATGGTGCAGTGATATTAGCATAACCATGCCATTAGTTATTATGTTCATTAATAGTCATACAACAGTGTCATGACAGATGTCATAATGTTGGACGTCATAATGGTTAACGAGAATACATTTAGCAACTATTAGCAGGTGACGTAAGCTGTTATGACATTAAACATTATGACACATGTCACAACCGTTACAAGTAATGGTCACGTTACACTGTTATATTACTGAATACAGTTTGTCATGACAACTCATGATAGTATATGACCCTTTATGACATGCTTATGGCACAGTTATGTCATTGTTATGTAGCAGGGCTAAAGTGTTACCAAGATTTCTGGTGCCATGTAAATCGGTCATAAAATTACAGCACCTAACCTCGCCATGTAAAACTAATTCCATCCAAATTTTACTTAAGCATGTATGTTCTGCCAAAGCTCATCTAGTTATTTTTAAACTGTCTTTGGGTTTCGATGACCCAGGCCTAGATGACCCAGGCCTCCTCAACTTTGTCCAAATGGTAAAGAGTGATTATGCATGTATTCTGTTTGTGTCCAGCCTTTATCATCTACAACAATGGCAGCAGTGACTGTGAAAAGCTTGCTACTGCACGTAGAGTATGAGCAGTTCATATTTTAGTATTATTACGGTGAAGATTGGCGGGCAAAAAGACAGCTGACATTTTAGACAGCAGTGAAAATGAGAAGCCACGAAAGGCTCAAGACGCCTTGTACCCGCTGCATTTGCAGTTCAAGCTTCTTCCATCTGCCAGATGTTTTAATGTAGCTGCCAACACTCCTGTTTCGCCTTGCGTAATTTCTCCGTTTCTGCCTTGTCTTCAACAGCATCTCCCCTCCATTTCCAAAAGGTTGGCGAGGTCAAGTCTAAAATGGGTTTCCAAAGTTCACACCTTTAGTAGAATGGATGTAGGCTTTGATTCCCAGTGCGAAGCTCCAGTCAAAACTGTGAATGTTCTCATTGCTCTTGTAGATTTATGTAGCGTCTGAGTCAGTGCTATTCTTCTGAGGTCTCATTCTGTTAGAGCGGGAATCTTGGAGCTCAGTGGAGAATGGACTGTTATTTATTTATTAGGTGGGAGCTCCAGTCTTAATGTTTCTTTCTTTTTCCATCCACATTTGAAAGGGATAGCAAACGTTTTGACTTTGTTCAGCTGTATGTAAGGACAAAGACTCAGCCGTGTTGCAGCTGACCATGTGCACAAGGCCAGGATCTAAGTGAAAGAAAATCAGTTTGTAAAAGGGGCAAAATCTAGTGATAATAATGCTATAGTTCTTGTTAACAATGTCCGACTATATTTGTTTTATTATGAGAACAATTTTTGGTTACTTTCATTTATTTTAAAGGAGCACTATACGTTTCTGGAGAACAACTGTTGATATTTGAACTCAACAGCAAAACAAACACACCCCTCCCTTCAGTGCTTCTTCACAAGCTCCGCCCCCAAATTCATGGATGCGCATTGCCAAGGCCAACACGCTTTTTTAGATATTTGTGGCCATAAAACCCATCATAAACATTGTACAGATAAATACCATGATATAGCGTTAGAATAAACAATGACACCGCAAGTAATGTAGATAAGTTAGCTAAGATGCAGGTTAGCAAACTTTTGCTACAGTTTCTGCTGTGAAGCCGATCAGCTGCTATCACATTAGCAAACACAACAAAACAATACTGACCTATTGATTCTGTGAACCAGCAAAAAAAATGTGTTATTGTTGGCCACCTGTCCAGCAGGAGCGACCTCCTCATCCCTTTTCAGGTATTTCAACTCTCAGTGAAGCTGAAGTCAGCTTCTATTTTGCTTCAGCTTCTTGTTCGAATTTTCCTGTTCCACCTTAAAAGGAGCAGCAACTAGACTACATTGTGGTGCCTCAGCTTCTTGTTCGAAAGGTGGAACGGGAAAATTCAAACAAGAAGCCGAGGCACCTGAATGTAGTCTAGTTGCTGCTCCTTTTAAGGTGGAATGGGAAAATTAAAAGGTGCCACGAGAAATTTGAACAAGAAGCTGAGGCGCCTGAATGCAGTCTTAACTACTGTGCTTTTTCAAGGTGGAATGGGAAAAGTTTAACAAGAAGCTCAGGCGCTGGAATGTAAGTCTAGCTGCTGCTCCTTTTAAGGTGGAACAGGAAAATTTGAACAAGAAGCTGAGGCACCTGAATGTAGTCTTAACTGCTGTTCCACCTTAAAAGATGCAGCAGTTAAGATTACATTCAGGTGCTTCTTGTTGGAATTTTCCCGTCCCGCCTTAAGTGGTGCACACACACTGCTGTGGGTGGTCACTGTCTGGGGGGTCAAAACAAAACATGGGGAGGGCCGACATTTTCACAGGGTAGGACTTACATGCACGGCGTAGCCGGACCGACTATCAGAACAAAAACAGAGGAGGTCACATTACAACACGCACAGAGGGGGGCGTGGCTTAATTCTGTACTCAGGACACCATTATACCACTGTCTTTACATAGAAAATAGTTGTTTGCTGCTATAATCATGTTGAATATATTCACCTTTTAATCTATCAGCATTTCGCCTCATGAGCGGCTTCTGTTTTTCAGATTGGCATTGTGGGTAGAACCGGAGCAGGAAAGTCCAGCCTGACCAACTGTCTGTTCCGCATCATTGAGGCAGCCGATGGACAAATCCTCATAGACGGGGTCGATATTGCTAATATAGGGCTGCATGACCTCAGGAGCAGACTGACCATCATTCCACAGGTGATTGAAAGCTCTTGCACATGGACAGTCTGTATATCGTACAGATGTGTTTTTAAAGGAATGATTTGGTGATAAATCTCATTTACACAGTTGTACAGTTGTGCCCAGATGCAGCTTATCATCCAAAGCATGTTTGGTGCCTAAATGTATTTCTTTAGTTTTTAACCGGCGCTATGAGGCTAATGTTGCTAACAAACACTAGAAGTCAATAGTCACCCAAACCTTTTCAGTTAATTACTTTTCTCTACCCACTCAGATTGCATGTAGGTCTTCTTTAAGGTCATACAGACTGGTTTAGAACACAGTATGGCTTTCTGTGAATTATAAAAATGAACAAAACTTCACTAAACCACTTCACACTTCTCTCGGAACAAAACCTTGTATCTCCAAAACAGTTACTTTACAGGAAAAGGAAAAACATACTTTACTTTTAATGGAAGGGAAGGCAACCAGCCTTTTTTTGGGCCCAGAGTAATTTTGGGCCATTTTATTTTGGCCCATTCATCACAAACTTCACCTCTACTGTAAAGAGCAACAGGCGTTTTCAAATTATGTCAAAACATGAAAAACTACAAAAATGGAGATACAAGGTTTGGTTCCAGCAGCAGCGATATGCTACATTCTCTTCTGTTGTTTCTATTTATCAGCAGTTTTGAACTGAAGATGTATGTTCATCAACAGAAACTACAGATATCCAGATGTAACTTGTTGTCCTCAAGTGGCATTGTGGTCAGGGGAATCAGAATTCAGCTCAACACCTGTCGACTAAAATGTCTACCCACAGCATTCGGCTACATATAGTTTCTAGTTTACAGTAAATCTTAAGTCTTCATGAATCTGCACGATTTTAATGAAGAGCTGGAGGCAGTTTGAGCAGATTGGGAGAAGTTTCTGGGATGTAATAATAGAAAAGCTTTGGGTGTCTATTGGCTTCTAGTGTTTGTTAGCAATGTTAGCTTCAGCGCTAAACTAAAGAAGCATTTGGACCCCAAACACTGTGTAAAAAACTGTGAAAATTGCCTCAATTAGATTTTTCGCCAAACTGCCACCTTACAGCAAGAAGGGCCTGGGTTCGATTCCCCGGCCGGGCAACCAGGGCCAAGATCCTTTCTGCGTGGAGTTTGCATGTTCTCCCCGTGTCTGTGTGGGTTTCCTCCTACAGTCTAAAGACATGCAGTCAGGCCAGTTAGAGATGCTGAATTGCCCCTAGATGTGTGTGTGTGTGTGTGTGTGTGTCTCTGCCCTGTGATGGACCAGTGGCCTGTCCAGGGTGTTTCCTGCCTTCGCCCAGTGACCGTTGGGATAGGCTCCAGCACTGCCTGTGACCCATAAGGATATGTGGTTTAGACAATGTGTGTGTGTCCCTTTAATCAGGCTTGTGGTGCTGCATCCTCTCTTAGCTGCAAACATATTTCTATTAAAAGGCACATATTTCCTGAAATGTCAGATACAGTGGGATGTACAATAAACTCATTAGCAAGTGAATGTGCAGCTTCTCTGCAGGGGATCTTCAGAACGTGGCCAGCGTGTTATTTTTACCAGACTGAATATAATCCAGAACAATAAATTGTGCAAATTTGGTCTCATTCACAGGACCCGGTGCTGTTCTCCGGGACTCTGCGGATGAATCTTGACCCCTTTGAGAAGTTCAGCGATGAGGACATCTGGAAAGTCCTGGAGCTGGCTCATCTGAAGGACTTTGTGGGGAGTCTGGCAGCAGGACTGCAGCACGAGGTCGCAGAAGGAGGGGAAAATCTCAGGTTGGATTCCCAGTAGCAAACACATTGACCCTGCAGTTTCTGGCCGTTATTAATCGTGCATTGACTGCAATATTTAACACTGAGTTGCTAGAAATAGAAGCTCTGCTTAATGTGGATCATTCGTTTTCATTCTTTTTCCATTATGTGTTTGTTTTTTCACACGGAACTGACCTTTTTGCTAGTGAAGTCTTCTGTATAATCATAGTTTCCCCAACAGTAATTAACAGTTGATCTTAATAGTATTCTTATTAACATGGAATGCAGGCCTGTGTTTTCTGGTAGCGGCGGTTGTTAAGCAGATCTGGTCGTTAGGATTATGCCAAGCGCCAAGAACATGAGTTATGTGCCAGTGTGCTTCTGTTATTCTCCATGAAACAAAAGAGACAGGTTGTTGATCAGTCTCATTGAGATTTATTAAAGCGGTGCCCACCGAAAGTCATCTTTTAACCACTTGCATTTGCCGGTGGATTAATTTTAACTACAGCTGACATTTTTAGGCACAACATGGAGTTTTTAGCATGTGGAGAATGGGCGGAATGCAGATTAGCAGTTCAGTTGAAAGTCTTGAAGATGCAAAATGTTGAAATTTTGTGTGTTTTCTATGCGTATATCAATATGTTTGCTGTTTTTTTTGGGATCTTCAGCCTTAAAACAGCAAGAAAAGTGTTGAAGTGGGTTTAATATTACATTTATTTTCAAGGTTAAGAGGTGCACTGCACCACTGGATGCCTTGAACCACATGGTTACATAATCTGTGCTACTCTTGACAGTGTGGGCCAGAGGCAGCTGCTGTGTCTGGCCAGGGCTCTGCTCCGCAAGTCCAAGATCCTGATCCTGGATGAGGCCACTGCAGCCGTGGATCTAGAGACAGACGACTTGATCCAGACCACCATCCGCCGAGAGTTCTCCCACTGCACCGTGCTCACCATCGCCCATCGCATCAACACCATCCTGGACAGCTCACGGTAAGCAGGTTGTGGGGACGACAGTTAATCGACGTTAGCTCAGGGAATAGAGCTGGTTGGTTTGCTCGGCTAGCGTTTAACTGCAGAGCCGCAGCGCCGCAACTTTGCACATTTTTGGGCCTGCTCTTACAGATCCTTCACAACTACGCCTCTAGAGGCGTATTTTGGAACTGCAGGTGCAATTATGAGCTCGGGAATTAAAGGTAGCTCGAACTTTACCACATTATTCTATTTTTAACAGAGAAGCTATTTGTATAAATGGTCTCATTTTTGTTTTTTCAGTCCCAAAGTGCATTTTTGTGTATATAGTAGCGCCACAATTAGTGTACAAACCAGTAAAGAAAGATAAGAACACACCGAAGCCAGCGATTGTTAATAAAACTATTTTTTTTTTTACACATTTCCTCATTAATTTGCTGTAAACATAAACCAGTACAGAAGGACTTTTTGTGCTAAGAAGTTTGTACCTTTGACCTCTAAACTGGATCATGTTCATAGCCCCAGATTATCTAGACATTTTGTATAAATCCTTTAAATGTATTTGGGAAGTTCACGCTCTCATAATGGTCTCCAACAGCCTACTGAGAAGAAACACAGGCTGCAAGCTGCTGATTCGGTTTAAATCATAACCGATTAGCTGCTCGTTCACACAGCCCAGCTCTCTGTCTTCCACGCCACAGACTACTTTCTAAAAAGTTGCACACTACCTCCAATGCCCTCCATGTAATGAAATGCAAGATCTGGTAGCTTTGTAGCCTCTCAACCACTGTGTAACATCACATCCAGAGCTGAGAGTGTGGACAGCCGGGGTATGAGAGTGCGGTACTGCGGCTCTGCAGTTAGTTGCTTGGATTGGTTGGGTTTCTCAAGCTTCATCACTCTTGGCCGCCCCCTCTTATATGTCCGGCTATGCGAAACCCCTAATTAGTGTTAAAACTCACAGGTACATTTCAGTTAGACAACATAATCAAAGCCTTGTATGCTGGAGATGGGGGTTCAAGTTCCTGCTTAGGCAGTAATGCTTGTAGTAGCTTGTAGGACCCAATATTGTAATAATTTTGCCAAATAAAAAAATAGCAATTTAATGTCTTACCCAGTAATGTTAACTGCTGATGTAATAATATCTTTAATGATAATGCAATGCTTTATTATATTAATGGGAATTTTTTCAGGTTCAAGTTGAACATACGTAATGCTATTATTGGAAATGTATTATTGTTGATCATTTTTGCTCAAGTATGTTTCAAAAATGGAACATGTAATCCTTTTAAGATCAGTTATGAAGTCTTATAAAAAAATATTATTATATTTGTGATATAGAAAAACAATAAATCAGAAGTTTGAACACAACCAGAGGGTTGTGGTAGATTTTTCTCAATAATGTAATAAGGTACTACATTGTCATTTACATTACATTTGTGGCAGTTGGCAGATACTCTTATCCAGAGTGACGTACAGTTTGATGATTGTTTTTACACAGGTAGGTAAAGGTAGTGTTAGGCGTCCTGCCCAAGGACTCTTATTGGTATAGCATAGGGTGCTTGTCCAGGCCCAGACAGGGGATCAGACCCCAGTCTGCAGTGTGAGAGGCAGTGTTATCCACTACACTATACCACGTTTATCAGTAAAAATCTTATTACAGTATGACTTAAGACATTGCGTTACATGGTATTACATTACTGGGTTTTATTACATTTGTGTTACATTTCCACTTATTACATTATTAATAAATGATTACATTACTGGCTTCTACATGGCTGCCTTGGAAAAACTCTGTTCAATTATCACTACACATAACTGCCTCTCTTGATAAGACTGCCTGCTACATGCTGGCAAGTAAATTAGGCTGAATTCACATTCAAGTTGCCTCCCAGAATGGCTGTGTATGAGTCCAGTACAGAGTAAGACATGCATACAAGGCCAGCCCAAATTCAAGTAGGGCACTAATGTAATCCATTACATAATTCTATCCCAGGAAAATGTTGTAATATCAAGCTTTTATCAGCAAAAAACAAGTACATTTCTGAAGTTTGCTGCTGTGTCCCTGCAGGCCATCTACTCTAACAGATCTGCTACGCTTCGTTACATGAGCACTGATATTATGTACTCTCTCATCACCCACTCAAAAGATTCAAGTAAGGCAAGATTCAACAATAAGTAGTGTGTCTAAAAGGGAGGCACAGAGCACTAATGGCTCTTCAAGACTGCCTGACACAGACAGAAAAGGCTGATATAGTCTGGCCAACATTCAGAAAAGCCAGTTCTTTGTAGTCAGAGCCGAGCTGTCCCATGAGAAAGAGCCGAGCCTTCCTGAGACGCCGTAAAGCTGAGGATGAAGAACTGTTGAAGCACACTGCACTCCTCCTTAACGTGCTTATCAATTAGGGAAACAATGAACTCATTGAACCTGTAATGCACTGCAAACACTGAATTTGTGTCAGTGCACATGTGTTTTTTGGTGCACCAAGAGGTCTGAGCATGTCGGATGGAGTGGTGTAAAGCACACTTTCTGTGGAGTGACGAATCACACTTCTCTGTCTGTCAGTCTGATGGACGAGTCTGGGTTTGGTGAATGCCAGGAGAACGTTACCTGCCTGACTGCACTGTGCCAGCTGTAAAGTTTTGTGGAGGAGGGATGATGATATGGGGTTGTTTTTAGGGGTTGATCTAGAACCAGTAAAGGGAACTCTTAATGCTTCAGCAACAAGACATTTTGGACAACAGTATGCTTCCAACTTTGTGGGAACAGTTTGAGGAAGAACCTTTCCTGTTCCAGCATGACTGAGCTTCAGTGCACAAAGCAGCTCCATAAAGGCGAGTGGTGAGGGGTGAGTGGTGTGGAAGAACTTGACTGGCCTTCACAGAGCCCTGACCTCAACCCCATCAAGCACCTTTGGGATAAACTAGAACGGAGACTGTGAGCCAGAACCTCTCGTCCAACATCAGTGTCTGACCTCACAAATGCTCTTCTGGATGAATGGGCGAAAATTCCCACAGACACTCTCCAAAATCTTGTAGAAAGCTTCCCGAAAGAGTGGAAGCTGTTGTAGCTGCAAAGGGGGACCAACTCCATATTAATGCATATGGATTTAGAATGGGATTCATAAAAGCTCCTGTGAGTGTGATGTGTAGGTGTCCCAATACTTTTTTCCATATAGTGTATTTATAGACAGTCAAAAGAAAATAAGTAAGGAAGAAGGAGCTAAATTGAGTTAAAAAAGTGATTAAAGCTACAGAGAAGTTGGGACTCCTAGCAACCACCTGGAAGACCTGGTAGACACCAAAAAGCAAAGAGAGAAGATAATCCAGCTCCACTCTCGCTTCAGATCTGAAAAAAACATCCTTTCACTGTGAGAAGAAAACTCAGTGCTATGGGTCTGAAGGGTTGTGTAGCTGTCAAGAAGCCTCACTAGCCATGTTTACATGAAGCTTAATAACCCGTTAATAATCCAACTAATAGCTTGGAATAGAATATGTCCATGTAAACACCTTAGTTGGAATAGACTAGTCCGATTGAGGCCATTCGGAATAGAGTTTCTATCCGACTGATCGAGGTGGGTAATCCTGTAAATAATCTGTTAAATAGAAGAATAATATCCGAGTAAATGCCTGTATCTGATTACATTCCCTATCGGAAAGTTTAAGTCTGTTCTGATCATGTTCGCCACGTCATAGTGAAAGTTTATACCGTTCAACATGGCGGAGCAGAAACTGGTCTGCAGAGGAGACGAAGTTTATGCTCTGATCTTTAAAAGACGGCGGTGGGACGGACGTCCAGCTTATGTGTCTCAGAACACGACGTCTTCCTCTCGGCCTTCTTTAATAAGGACATGTGAAGGACGTTTTCCTGAGTCTGACATCATTTTAAAGTCATTAAAAACACAATCACTGCTCACTGCTGCTCATCTCGCTCTGACTGGACTCAGAGTGAGATGCTGGTTGTCATGGTAACGTCTACACTAAGCGGTTCTCTACGCATGCGTGTAATTTTGGATCTGATTACTTGTAGTGAGCATGAAAACTGAGATTTTCATCAGATTGTTGAGTAAAGTGAGAATAAACACCTCAGTCTTCATCTGTAATCAGAGTGTATTCAATCAGATTGGCTAAAATCTTTGCATGTAGACGCAGACAGTGAGAAAAGGAAAGCAGCAAATGCAACCAACTCCTAAGACTGAACTTTAGATGTGTAGAAGAATATCCCTGCTGATTTCTGAAAGCTTAAAGCAGCTCTCTTGACAAAGAAACAAGCTCTGTCAGAAAGAAGTTTCGCTCGAACAAAAAAGCAATAAAGCGGTGCTGTCACACTTATTGCACAAGTCATCCTTGACTCTTTTGACATTGCGTTGGTGGAAGAAAACACTCATCTTTACTCTGAACAGCATCTGTAACGTCTGATTTTGGGTCCAAGGTTGAAGTTGTGGCTTGTATTAACCCTTTGCTCTTCTCTTCACAGGGTAATGGTTCTGGATGCCGGGAAAATAGTGGAGTTTGATCCCCCTGGAGTACTGCTTGAGAAGCAGGGCCACTTTTTTGCCCTAGCCAAAGAAGCTGGGGTCATTTCGACACAGTACACGGCCCTGTGAGCTTTACAGGAGCGGTAACCCAGTGGACAGAGCGCTTGGTTGTGAAACTAAGCAATGATCCTGGTCAGTGAAATTCTGCTGTTGTGTCCACAAGCAGGGCACTTAGCTCAGTGTTGCGCTGGGCAGACTGTAGCTGTAATTATAAGTCCGTTCAACGAGCTGTTGAAGAAGCTTCACGCTGCTGAAATCAGTTTTTTGACCTGCTTTATTTTAAAGAAATGAAGGAATTAAGAGGAATAGAGTCTGTGAAGTCTGGTCGACCTTTTCTACTGTATTTTATTCTTGTTTGTGTTTGTGTGCAATCTATTTAGTCGTAATAAAGTTTTCAAAGTTTTTCATTTTCGCTTGGTCATATTTATTCTTTTATATCTAGGGCAGGCTTTTTCTACCCCCCCCACAACCCACCAGACACAGACATCAGATACAAGTATTTGTTTGAAGTTTTACACATGAATGCAACAATATTACTTAAAGCAAAGTGACTTTGCTATGCATGGCCTTCACAGCACTTTCCCCCCTCCTGTCAATTGCATTGGTTTTTCCATATCAGAAAGCAATTTTGAAAGACCAGTCAGTTGGAAAATTGAACAGCGGTCGCCTTTGCAGTTCATGACTCTTTTATAGGGGTCAATTCTAACAAGTGCTTTTGGTGCAAACTAAGTTAGATCTCTATTGACAGCAAATTTAACCTCCCCCCTCTTCCATGCCCTGGTTCTTTAGCCCTGTGCAAAAGTCACAGACCACTTGTTATGAAGTTACAGCTCATCACCAACATGGAGTAAATGTACTTACCTCTTGAAGAGGTCTGCTGAGACTTCTAGCACAGGTGTCGGCCATATGCGGCTCTTTTACTGCCCTGTTGTGGCTCCACAGCAGAATCAGATTCGTAGGTAAAAATAAAATAATCCTCCTTTACAGTAAAATAAAGCTCTGCTGATCGTTCAACACAGTTTAAACGATAAATGGTCTTAAACTCTGGAGTTAATGTAGAACTGCTGATTCACCCTTTAACCCTGAAGATCAGCACAGACTGCTGGTCACCATAGCAGCACAGACAACAATCTCATCTAGCTAGTAGCTAACGAAAAGACAAAGAGAGAGATTTAAGATGAACATGGGTAATTTGGAGACAAATGGGCTTTTTTGCATTCATGACACTAAAACTGTCAAACACTAAAAAGTCATGAGGCTGAAGTCAGTTTCTCATTTACCAGCTTCTCGTTCTAATTCTCCCGTTCCACCTTAAATGGCGCAGCAGTTACATTCTGGCGACTCCGGCACCATTTAAGGTGGAAGGGGAAAATTTGAACAAGAAGCTGGTGATTGAAAAGCGACTTAAGCCTCGTAAAAAGTCGGTGCTGAGTGATTGAGAGTAATTTTACAAGAAAGCGTCCTACTTTTGGAAAAGTTTCCTGCCGGAGATGTGATATATATAGCTAGCCTAAACTAGTACACCAGCACATACTGAGACATATTTACAGCCAAGATGGTAAAATGGACATAAAATATTTTGGCTCCCATGGTGAACTGATTTTTGTGGAAGGACAAAATGGCTCTTCTTAACGTTTGGGTTGCCGACCCCTGTTCTAGAGGAACTGCCGGCATAGTTATCATCCTGTTTTATCCATGTTGTAAGGGCTCACAACCATTTGGAGAAAGGGGGGTGCTGCCATTGTTACTGCAAACCATGTAAAAGTAGACCTGTGGAATGTGTACAGGCCTGATGATGTGTTGGTTTTAAACACGGTGCTGAGTGATCACCTAAATATTGTCTTATATTGCTGAGCGCCTCCCCCTTTGTGTGAGTTGGTTTAACCCAGGGCGGGGCTGGAGATATAAATACACGGGGAGGTCAGCCTAGTGGGCTATGCACATTGTTCTATGTGTGAACCCGTTTTCTTTTTGTTTTCTTCCAGTTTCTTTTTCCTTTTGTAATTCACTTAATAAACATCATCGTATTTGCCTACCTTTCGAGTCACAGTCTTCATTTTGGTAAACCCAGGATTCCCGGCCAACCACTAAAACCAGGCGTAAATCTGAGAATTACCCAACTCTTATTACTGCTCTTCATTCATTTCATTCATTTATTTTGTTTTGGTGCCTCAACAACTAAATATAATATCACATTTTTTCGGTATCTATCGTGTCCACTTTACCGTCATTCCAGCTTCCATTCTTTCTGGATACTCGCTTTCAGTTTCTCAAAGAAATCTGCAGACACACCTCCAAAGTTCAGTCTTAGAAGTTGGTTTAGCATCTTCTGATCTTATGAAATCTCCCGAAAGAATGAATTATCAATCTATCAACCTTTATTTCGAATCAAGTTACATTGAGGGTGACCCTCATTTACAATGTAGGCAGGCAAGTTTACAAGGGATTAAAAAAAAATTACCAACTAAAATACATGAAAATCAAGACAAAAAGATTTATGTAAAAAATTATAAAAATAAAAAATTAAATGAAAATTAAAAACAAACAGCTCAAACAGAACACAGGCATACAATATCAATAGCATATATAATGAAAACATTAAAATGAGGTTAAACACAATTTAAATAGTAAACAGTAAGAAAACTAAAATGATAGAAAAACCTAATTATTGACTGGAATTGAACAGTAAAAGAATTAATATCAAACTCAAACATCTGAAGGTGGTTAGAGACTAAAAGTTTAAAATGACCAACACCGGTCAGTTCTAGAGACTAACCTGTAGTGAGTCCATCTCACTGGTGCTGTACCTAAAAGCAGATTTTCCCAGTTGGGTAAAAACTCTCAGTACCTGACAGGTGAGCCAGTCATCCAGGTCTGATAATGACTGTTATTTATAGAGCTCATCTTGTATTTTCTGGTCGTTTTGAGAGGAGAATGAATGAATGAATGAAGGCTGAGCTCTGAACTTTACACAGTACTGTACACGTCTAAATGGTTGTGTATGTAAATTGCATACATGATTTAATGGGATGCTAACCTGTCATAAAAAACGTGGAACAGCCTTCCTTTGTTTTCGCTGTGATTCATAGTAAAATGTCCATTAATCATTTTCTCAGTGATTCAGACCGAAGCTGTGTTGGAGTCTTTTTTCTAGCATGATTCAAGGGTTCTTGGCATCTTGAAAGGGTTCTTTAGATTGATGGAGAATGTGCTGTAGATGGTTCTATATAGAACCTTCCTGAAAGGGGTTCTAAATAGCACCAAAAAGGGTTGCAAGCTTGACATCGTAAAAATAGCAGAACTCTTTTTGGTGCTATATAGAACCATATACAGCACATTCTCTATCAGTCTGAAAAACCTTTCACGATGCAAGGAACCCTTTAATCATACTAGGGGTTCTTCGAGTGTTCATTGTGCTACACAGAACCATTTTCTGGACTGAAGAACCCTTGAAGAACATTTTTAAGAGTGCAGAAATATTCTATGTGTGACTAAAAGACACTTTTGTCCCAGTATTTATTCATGTCTGTTTTTTTTCTCTTAAATCAAACTATCTGTCTTTTCTGAGGTTGATTAAGATTGAAAAACAAACTCGTATGAAACAGCTCATACCCATCATCTGTGCTCAGTGTTGTGTGGGTGACGTTTTTCCCCCACATTTGGATATGGCAACTACAATAAAGGGTAACCCAACAGTTTTTCTACATCTTTGCATAATTCAGTGGGTGAGGTGTGAATTCAGTGGCTAAGAGAGATTTAATGTGAAATATTTCATTGTAGAGAAACTCACTGACTCATATTTCTCTACTATGGTGCTGATAGGAACCAGGGGTCAATATGTCTACAATGCAAATATACAGTCGTATGCAAAACTCAAATTACACTGTAGATTTCCTGAGTGAGAATAAGTTTACACACCCTCTATAGAGAAAAACAACCAAATCTATAATTGACTGGGGGTGCCTAAACTTTTGCACATGACTCTAGCTGTTTTATTTACTACCCAAAACCATCAGTGAACCTTCTTGTGTCTTCTGAGTTTTTACATGGGATGTCGATGATGGTAAAACGGTGGTAAATTTGTAAAAATGCATTTTCGTTGGACAGTATTTTGCCTTACAACAACCTGCATGTTCCCCTGTTCTGCAAATCTGATTTACTCGACTTTCACTCGAACACCAATAACTCGGACTGTGACTCGGACTTGAGCCTCATGACTCGGAAACACTCAAGACCCAAAGTGTAAGAAACGTGTTGAGGCATCTGACTGCAGACTGGACTCCGCACAGCCTGATATACGGCAGCGTCCTCAGATGTCTGTTACTCTGCTTATACTCAGCTTATTTTATATCAGAAGACAAGTGAAACATTAGAATTCGACTCCATAAGCTAGAAACACGCGAAGCATCGACAGCCTCAATCAGCCCCACTCAGCGCTTAACTGACCGTTTTCCTCATGGTTGCAAAGCAAAAGAAACACGGCTCTCTCTGTTTGAACAACTTTAACAGCTTCTGCGGGTACAACAAGCCCAGCATTCACCACAAGGCTGAAGTTGACTTGTTATTCGCCAGCTTCGTATTGGAATTAGCCGATCCACCTTAAATGTTGCAGCATTTACATTCCGGCGCTTGGCTGCTGCACCATTTAAGGTGGAACAGAAAATTCAAAGAAGCCAGCTTCAGCTTTATCATTCACCATCATTTTCATGTCTTTTCTGTGAACTTTCTATAGTTTTTTGGTCGTTTTGGTTGCTGTTGTCATTTAAATTCAGTTCAAAGTAGCGCCTGTTTTCACGCTGACTTATTTAAGACTCGAAGATTATGATTTGGGATTTGAATTGAGACTCAACTGTCTGGCCTTGCAACTTGACTCAGAACTCGAGTGTCAAGACTTTAGACTTAGGCCCAGTCCCGTTTCACCCCTACCACTCAGCCTTACCCCTCCATTTAGTGCGTTCACGTCTAGGGGTAGGGTGTCCTGATTCTTGTTGAGATAGAGGGGGAGGGCGAAGCGTTAGGGCTACATACGGAGGTTTTTCAGAGACTCCAAACAGAGTTATATGGAAAAAAAAAAGAGGAAAAAAAAGAAAAACAACCAAGATCAAGAGCAAGAGACTAAATAGACCCACAAATATAAGAATTTTCTCCTTTAAAAATGACCATAATCACAGTATTGTCTTAGTTTAATGTTGTTTCAATGTATTATGGTCATTTTCTTCATAACAAGCTTAAAAATCACTAGTAGTGCTGATGTCTCTGTAGCTAAGTAGCTAACTTTCCCGTTCCACTTTAAATAGTCCAGCAGTTCTGACGCCTGAAGTGCCAGAATGTAACTGCTGAACAAGAAGCTGCTGAATATCTGACTTCAGCTTCATATCACTGAAGAATTAGGGGTGGGTGATAAATA